AAATTCCCAAAATTCCTCCAAAAACTCCCAAAATTCCTCCCAAAATTCCCAAATCCATCCCAAAAATCCCCTCCAGACCCATCCAAACCCCTCCAAAAATCCCCCAAAATCCCCATTATACCCCTTAGAACCCCCCCCAAAACCACCCCAAATCTCCCCAAATCCTCCCCAAACCCCCCAAAATTCCCCAAAATTCCCGAAAACTCCCAAAATTCCTCCCAAAATTCCCCAAATTGCTCCCAAAATTCCCAAATCCATCCCAAAAAAGTCCCAAAATACCCCCAAAATCCCCATTATACCCCTTAGAACCACCCCAAAACCACCCCAAATCCTCCCCAAACCCCCCCGAAACTCCCCCAAAATTCCTGAAAATTCCCGAAAATGCCCGAAAATTCCGAGAATTATTTCCAGAATTCCCAAACCCATCAAAAAAATTCCCCAAATCCCCTCCAGACCGTCCCAAACCCACCCAAACCCCCCCAAAATCCCCCAAAATCCCCATTAGAGCCTCTCAAACCCCCCCAAATCCTCCCCAAACCCCCCCAAACCCCCCCAAACCCCCGAAACCCCCCAAAAATGCCAAAAAATTCCCGAAAATCCCAAAAATTCCCGAAATTCCTCCAAAAACTCCCAAAATTCCTCTCAAAATTCCCAAATTCATCCCAAAAATTCCCAAAACCCCCCCAAAATTCCCATTAAAGCCCCTCAAACCCCCCCAAAATCCCCCAAATCCCCATTATACCCCTTAGAACCGCCCCAAAACCACCACAAATCCTCCCCAACCCCCCCAAAATTCCCAAAAATTCCCAAAATTCCTCCCAAAATTCCCAGAATTAATCCCAAAATTCCCAAATCCTCTCAAAATTCCCAAATCCATCCCAAAAATTCCCCAAATCCCCTCCAGACCCACCCAAACCCCCCCAAAATCCCCCAAAAACTCCATTATACCCCTTTATACCGCCCCAAATCCTCCCCAAACCCCCCCAAAATTCCCGAAAGTTCCCGAAAATTCTCAGAAATTCCCAAAATTGCTCCAAAAATTCCCAAATCCATCCCAAAAATTCTCAAAATCCCCTCCAGACCCACCCAAACCCCCATTAGAGCCCCTCAAAGCCCCCCAAAAGTCCCCCAAATCCCCATTATACCCCCTAAAACCGCCCCAAAACCGCCCCAAACCCCCCCAAAACCCCCCCAAAAATTCCCAAAAATTCCCGAAAACTCCCAAAATTCCTCCCAAAATTCCCAAATCCATCCCAAAAATCCCCTCCAGACCCACCCAAACCCCCCCCAAAATCCCCATTAGAGCCCTTAAACCCCCCCAAAACCGCCCCAAATCCTCCCCAAACCCCCCGAAATTCCAAAAATTCCCAAAATTCCACCCAAAAATCCCAAAAATTCTCCCAAAATCATCCCAAAAATTCCCAAAATGCCCTCCAGAGCCTCCCAAACCCCCCAAATCCCCATTAAAGCCCCTCAAACCCCCCCAAAATCCCCCCAAATCCCCATTATATCCCTTAGAACCACCCCAAACCCCCTCCAAACCCCCAAAAATTCCCCAAAATTCCCGAAAACCCCCAAAATTCCTCTCAAAATTCCCAAATTCATCCCAAAAATTCCCAAAACCCCCCCAAAATTCCCATTAAAGCCCCTCAAACCCCCCTCAAATCCCCACTATACCCTAAAACTGCCCCAAACCCCCTCCAAACCCCCCAAAATTCCCAAAAATTCCCGAAAACCCCCAAAATTCCTCTAAAAACTCCCAAAATTCCTCTCAAAATTCCCAAATTCATCCCAAAAATTCCCCAATTCATCCCAAAAATTCCCAAAACCCCCCCAAAATTCCCATTATACCACTTAGAACCGCCCCAAATCCCCCCAAATTCCCCCCTAAACCTACCAAAAATTCCCAAAAACTCCCAAAATCCCTCCCAAAATTCCCAAATCCATCCCAAAAATTCCCAAAATCCCCATTATACCCCTTAGAACTGCCCCCAAAATCCCCATTATACCCTTTTATACCACCACAAACCCCCTCCAAACCCCCCCAAAATTCCCAAAAATCCCCCAAAAATTCCCAAAAATCCCCCAAAATCCCCCAAAATTCCTGAAATTCCCGAAATCCCGTCTGACCTGCCCGCAGCAGGATGACCTGGTCGTCCAAGGGGAGCCCCGAGAAGTGGGGGACCCTCTTGGCCCACTCCACCAGGGTGAAGAGCTGCTTGTCGGCCGCCTGGCAGATGTTGGTCACCGGGTCATTGGGCTGAATTTGGGGCGATTTCGGGGCAAATTTAGACCCCCCCCGAGATTCCCAAACTCCCAACCCAGCCCTGAATTCCCAAAGGGAAAAATCCTGGAAAAAACCCGGCGGGAATCGGTGAAAAAATGGGGAAAATCGAGCGAAAAATGGGGAAAATCGACCCGAAAATCGACCCAAAAATCGGTGTTGAAAGGGGTGAAATTGGGAGGGAAAAATCCAAATTTTGGGATAAATTGAGACCCACCGCCCGACATTCCCAAATTCCCAACCCAGCCCAGAATTCCCGAAGGGAAAAATCCTGGAAAAAACCCGGCGGGAATTGGTGAAAAAATTGGGAAAATCGAGTAAAAAATGGGGAAAATTGACCCAAAAACTGGGAAAATTGACCCAAAAATGGGGAAATTGGGAGGGAAAATTCCCAAAATTTTGGAGGAATTTGAGGAATTCTGAGGATTTTGGGGAAATTTTTGAGGAATTTGAAAAAATTTCTAGGATTTTTGGGGGGAATTTTTGGGGATTTTGGGGAAATTTCCAAGATTTTGGGGACATTTTCTGGATTTTGGGGAAACTTTGGAGGATTTTGGTGGAATTTTGGGGAATTTTTGAGACATTTTCAAATATTTTGGGGAAACTTTTGAGGATTTTGGTGGAATTCTGAGGATTTTGGGGAAATTTTTGAGGATTTTGAGGAAGTTTTGAGGATTTTTGGGGGGAATTTTTGGGTATTTTCGGGAAATTTTCAAATCTTATGGGCAAACTTTTGAGGATTTTGGTGGAATTCTGAGGAATTTTTGAGGATTTTGGGGAAACCTTTGAGGATTTTGCTGGAATTTTGTGGAATTTTTGAGACATTTTCAAGGATTTTGGGGAAACTTTTGAGGATTTTGGTGGAATTCTGAGGATTTTGGGGAAATTTTTGAGGATTTTGAGGAAATTTTTGAGGACTTTGATGGAATTCTACAGATTTTTAAAAGATTTTGTGGAAATTTTCCAAAATTTTGTGGATTTTTTGTGGATTTTGGGGAAACTTTTGATGATTTTGGCGGAATTTTGGGGACATTTTTGAGGAATTTGAAGAACTTTTGACTCTTAGAGAAATTTTTGAGGATTTTGGTGGAATTCTGAGAATTTTGGAGACATTTTTGAGGATTTTGGGGAAATTTTTGACTCTTGGAGAAATTTTCAAGGATTTTGGTGGAATTTTGTGGCATTTTTTAAAGATTTTGTGGAAATTTTCCAAAATTTTGGGGACTTTTTGTGGATTTTGGGGAAACTTTTGATGATTTTGGTGGAATTCTGAGGATTTTGGGGAAATTTTTAAGGAATTTGGGGAAATTTTTGACTCTTGGAGTAATTTTCAAATATTTCGGTGGAATTTTGTGGCATTTTTTAAAGATTTTGTGGAAATTTTCCAAACTTTTGGGGACTTTTTGTGGATTTTGGGGAAACTTTTGAGGATTTTGGTGGAATTCTGAGAATTTTGGAGACATTTTTGAGGATTTTGGGGAAATTTTTGAGGATTTTGGTGGAATTTTGGGGAAATTTTTGAGGAATTTGAGGAATTTTTGAGGATTCTGGGGGAAATTTTGGGGGATTTTGGGGACTTTTTGCGGATTTTGGGGAAACCTTTGAGTACTTTGGTGGAATTCTCAAAATTTTGGAGACATTTTTGACGATTTTGGGGAAATTTTTGACTCTTGGAAGAATTTTCGAGGATTCGGGTGGAATTTTGTGGCATTTTTTAAAGATTTTGTGGAAATTTTCCAAAATTTTGGGGACTTTTTGTGGATTTGGGGGAAACTTTTGAGGATTTTGGTGGAATCCTGAAAATTTTGGGGAAATTTTTGAGGAATTTGAAGAACTTTTGACTCTTGGAGAAATTTTTGAGGATTTTGGTGGAATTCTGAGAATTTTGGGAAATTTTTGATGAATTTGAAGAATTTTTGACTCTTGGAGAAATTTTCGAGAATTTCAGTGGAATTTTGTGGCATTTTTTAAAGATTTTGTGGAAATTTTCTGAAATTTTGGGGACATTTTGTGGATTTTGGAGAATCTTTTGAGGATTTCAGTGGAATTTTGGGGACATTTCCAAATATTTTGGGGAAACTTTTGAGGATTTTGGTGGCATTCTGAGGATTTTGGGGAAATTTTTGAGGATTTTGGTGGAATTTTGGGGAAATTTTTGAGGAATTTGAGGAATTTTTGAGGTCTCTGGGGGAAATTTGGGGGGATTTTGGGGACTTTTTGAGGATTTTGGGGAAATTTTTGAGGAAATTTTTGACTCTTTGAGAAATTTTCGAGGATTCCGGTGTAATTTTGTGGCATTTTTTAAAGATTTTGTGGAAATTTTCCAAAATTTTGGGGACTTTTTGTGGATTTCGGGGAAACTTTTGAGGATTTTGGTGGAATTCTGAGGAATTTGAGGAATTTTTGAGGATTCTGGGGGAATTTTTGGGGGATTTTGGGGACATTTTGTGGATTTTGGAGACATTTTTGAGGATTTTGGGGAAATTTTTGAGGAAATTTTTGACTCTTGGAGGAATTTTCGAGGATTTCAGTGGAATTTTGTGTCATTTTTTAAAGATTTTTGTGGAAATTTTCCAAAATTTTGGTGGAATTATGAGAATTTCAGATAAAATTTTCACCTCTTTGATCGAAATTTTTCCGTATTTTGCCGAAATTTTTGCCGATTTCTCCGGGGATTTCTGTGATTTCACCATTTCCACCCGGGGGTTGTTCGTCCCCTCTCCCAAATTGCCCAAAATGGGCGGAAATCACCCCAAATTTGGGTGAGACTCACGGAGGCTCCGCCGGCGCCGTCGTCGCTCTTGGGCTCGACGGCGAGTTCGGCTTCCAGAAGTTTCTCCACCGGCATCTCCTCGTTGGGGGCGGCGCCGAAATCGCCGTCGGCGTCTTTGTCCTTCCCCCGCTGCCGCTCCTCCTGCACCGCTGCGGGGAAAATGGGGGAAAACGGGGAAAATGGGAAAAATCGGTGAAAAAACGGGAAAAATCGGTGAAAAAACGGCGAAAATCGGTGAAAAAATGGCAAAGAAACGGGGAAAAAATGGACGAAAAATGGGGCAAAAACGGTGAAGTAACGGCGAAAATCGGGGGGAAAAGGGCAAAGAAATGGGAAAAAATGGGGGGAAAATGGGGGAAAATTGAGAAAAAATGGGAGAAAAATGGGATAAAATGGAGAAAAAATGGGGAAAATCGGTGAAAAAACGGGAAAAATTGGTGAAAAGCGGTGAAAAAACGGGGAAAATCGGTGAAAAAATGGGCAAAATATGGGGGGAAAATGGGGAAAAGATGGGCAGAAAATAAAGAAAAATAGGGTAAAATGGATAAAAATTCAGAAAAAAGCAGAAAAAAATGTGAAAAAATCGGGGAAAATGGGGGAAAACGGTGAAAAAATGGAGAAAATCAGTGAAGAAAGGGCAAAGAAACGGCAAAAATCGAGGGGAAAAGGGCAAAGACATGGCGAAAAATGGGGGGAAACCAGGGGAAAAATGGGGGGAAAATGAGATAAAATGGGGGAAAATTGAGAAAAAATGGGAGAAAAATGGAATAAAATGGTGAAAAAATTGAGAAAATTGGTGAAAAAACAGTGAAGAAATGGTGAAAAACAGGGAGAAATGAGGGGAAAAATGGGGAAAAAATGGGGGGAAATGGGAAAATGGGATGGGAAGAACGGGAAAAAACAGGAAAATTGGGAAAAATGTGAAAAAAAAAAATAGAAAAACCAGGGAAAAAATGGGGAAAAAAAGGAATTTTTGGGATGGGAGCCCCCAAATTCGGGGCCACCCAGAAGTCGCCATTGGAGTCTTTGTCCTTGCCCCGCTGCCGCTCCTCCTGCACCGCTGCGGGGAAAAATGGGGGAAAAACGGGGAAAATGGGAAAAACAGTGAAAAAATGGGGAAAATCGGTGAAAAAATGGCGAAAATCGGTGAGAAAATGGGCAGAAAATGGGCGAAAAATGGTGAAGAAATGTCAAAAAATGGGGGGAAAATGGAGGAAAAATGGGGAAAAAAATGGGGAAAAAATAGGGGAACTGAGGTAAAGTGGGGGAAAATGGGATAAAATGGAGAAAAATTGAGAAAATACGTGAAAAAATGGCGAAAATCGGTGAAAAAATGGGCGAAAAATGGGGCAAAAATGGAGAAGAAATGGCAAAAACTGGCGGAAAATGGGGGGAAAATGGGGGAAATTGGGGAAAATGAGGTAAAATGGGGGAATATTGAGAAAAAATGGGAGAAAAATGGGATAAAATGGTGAAAAAATGGGAAAAATCGGTGAAAAAATGGGAAAAATCGGTGAAAAAATGGCGAAGAAACGGGGAAAAAATGGGCGGAAAATGGGAAAATGGGGAAAAGAAAATAAAGAAAAATGGGGTGAAATGGACAAAAATTGAGAAAAAATGCAGAAAAAATGGGAAAAATGGTGAAAAAACGGGGAAAATCGGGGGAAAAACGGGGAAAATTGGTGAACAAACGGCGAAGAAACGGGGGAAAACGGTGAAAAAATGGAATAATCGGTGAGAAACAGGGAAAAACGGTGAAAAAATGGGAAAAATCGGTGAAAAAATGGCGAAGAAACGGGGAAATTTTTGCCTGTTTTTCCCCGTTTTCCCCCATTTTTCCCTTTTTTCCCCATTTTTTCACCCCGAACCCCTCTCCCAGTTTGTCCCAGTCCCTCCCAGTCCGTCCCAGTCTCTCCCAGTTTGTCCCAGTTTATCCCAGTCTTCCCAATCGCCATTCCCCACCAATTTCACCCCAAAACCGCCAATTTTTGCCGATTTTTCCCCCGTTTTTCGCCCGTTTTTTGCCGTTTTTCACCCTTTTTTCCCGTTTTTTCGCCCCGAACCCCCTCCCAGTTTGTCCCAGTTTGTCCCAGTCCCTCCCAGTCCATCCCAGTCCCTCCCAGTCCCTCACAGTTTATCCCAGTTCCCTCCCAGTATCCCCAATCCCCATTTCCCACCAATTTCACCCCAAAACCGCCTATTTTTGCCAATTTTCCCCAATTTTTCCCCCTTTTTGCCCCATACTTTTGCCCCAAACCCCTCTCCCAGTCCATCCCAATCTATCCCAGTCCATCCCAGTCTGTCCCAGTCCATCCCAATCCATCCCAGTCCATCCCAGTTCCCTCCCAGCATCCCCAATCCCCATTTCCCACCAATTTTGCCCCAAAACCACCAATTTTTGGTGATTTTTTCCCATTTTTCACCCTTTTTTCTCCATTTTTTCGCCCCAAACCCCTTTCCCAGTTTGTCCCAGTCCCTCCCAGTTTGTCCCAGTTCCCTCCCAATCTCCCCAAATCCCCATTTCCAACCATTTTCTTGCTATTTTCACCCCAAAACCGCCAATTTTTGCCATTTTTTCCCAATTTTCACCCTTTTTTCCCCATTTTTTCACCCCAAACCCTCTCCCAGTCCCTCCCAGTCCCTCCCAGTTTGTCCCAGTCCCTCCCAGTCCGTCCCAGTTTATCCCAGTCTCCCCAAATCCCCATTTCCCACCAATTTCACCCCAAAACCACCAATTTTTGCCGACTTCTCCCCCGTTTTTCGCTCGTTTTTGCCCGTTTTTTGCCCGTTTTTCCCCCTTTTTCCCCCATTTTTTCGCCCAGACCCCCCTCCCAGTCGGTCCCAGTTAATCCCAGTCCCTCCCAGTCCATCCCAGTTCCCTCCCAGTATCCCCAATCCCCATTCCCCACCAATTTCACCCCAAAACCACCAATTTTTACCCATTTTTCCCTCATTTTCCCCCATTTTTCACCCTTTTTTCCCCATTTTTTCGCCCCGAACCCCCTCCCAGTTTGTCCCAGTTTATCCCACTCTCCCCAATCTCCATTTCCCACCAATTTCACCCCAAAACCACAAATTCTTGCCAATTTTTGCCAATTTTTGCCGATTTTTCCCCCGTTTTTTGCCCGTTTTTGTCCGTTTTTCGCCCGTTTTTCGCCCGTTTTTCACCCTTTTTTCCCCGTATTTTCGCCCTGAACCCCTCTCCCAGTCCCTCCCAGTCCGTCCCAGTCCCTCCCAGTCCATCCCAGTCCCTCCCAGTCCATCCCAGTCCCTCCCAGTTTATCCCAGTCTCCCAAATCCCCACTTCCCACCAATTTCACCCCAAAACCGCCAATTTTTGCCGACTTCTCCCCCGTTTTTTGCCCGTTTTTTGCCCTTTTTTCCCCGTTTTTTTCGCCCCAAACCCCTTTCCCAGTTTGTCCCAGTCTGTCCCAGTCCCTCCCAGTCCATCCCAGTTCCCTCCCAGTATCCCCAATCCCCATTTCCCACCAATTTCACCCCAAAACCACCAATTTTTGCCAATTTTTGCCGATTTTTCCCCATTTTTTTGCCTCAAACCCCTCTCCCAGTCCCTCCCAGTTTGTCCCAGTTTGTCCCAGTTTGTCCCAGTCTCTCCCAGTATCCCCAAATCTCGATTTCCTCCAATTTCACCCTGAAAACACCACTTTTTGCCAATTTTTGCCGATTTTTCCCCATTTTTTGCCCATTTTCCCCCATTTTTCCCCCTTTTTCCCCGTTTTTTCTCCCCAAACCCCTCTCCCAGTTAATCCCAGTTCCCTCCCAGTCCCTCCCAGTCCATCCCAGTTCCTTCCCAGTATCCCAAATCCCCATTTCCCACCAATTTCCCCACAAAACCGCCGATTTTTCCCCCATTTTTGCCTGTTTTTCGCTGTTTTCCACCCTTTTTTCCCCATTTTTTCGCCCCAAACCCCCTCCCAGTTTGTCCCAGTTTATCCCAGTCCCTCCCAGTTTGTCCCAGTTTATCCCACTCTCCCCAATCTCCATTTCCCACCAATTTCACCCCAAAACCACAAATTCTTGCCAATTTTTGCCGATTTTTCTGCTGTTTTTCGCCGTTTTTCACCCATTTTTCGCCCATTTTTCCCCGTTTTTCACCCTTTTTTCCCCGTTTTTTCTCCCCGAACCCTCTCCCAGTCCCTCCCAGTCTGTCCCAGTCCATCCCAGTTCCCTCCCAGTATCCCCAATCCCCATTTCCCACCAATTTCACCCCAAAAGCACCAATTTTTGCCGATTTTTCCGCCGTTTTTTGCCGTTTTCCCCCCTTTTTTCCCCGTTTTTTCACCCCAAACCCCTCTCCCAGTCCATCCCAGTCCGTCCCAGTCCCTCCCAGTTTATCCCAGTCTCCCCAAATCCCCATTTCCCACCATTTCCTTGCTACTTTTGCCCCAAAACCGCCAATTTTTACCGATTTTTTCCCAATTTTCGGCCTTTTTTCCCCATTTTTTCACCCTAGACCCCTCTCCCAGTCCCTCCCAGTCCATCCCAGTCCATCCCAGTCCATCCCAGTCCATCCCAGTATCCCCAATGCCCATTCCCCACCAATTTAACCCCAAACCCAACAATTTTTACTGATTTTTTCCCCCCGTTTTTTGCCCGTTTTTCGCCGTTTTTCACCCATTTTTTCCCTTTTTTCCCCGTTTTTTCACCCCAAACCCCTCTCCCAGTCCCTCCCAGTCCCTCCCAGTTTGTCCCAGTCCGTCCCAGTCCATCCCAGTTCCTTCCCAGCATCCCCAATCCCCATTTCCCACCAATTTCCCCACAAAACCGCCGATTTTTCCCCCATTTTCCCCCATTTTTCGCCGTTTTTCACCCTTTTTTCCCCATTTTTTCGCCCCAAACCCCCTCCCAGTTTGTCCCAGTTTATCCCACTCTCCCCAATCTCCATTTCCCACCAATTTCACCCCAAAACCACAAATTCTTGCCAATTTTTGCCAATTTTTGCCGATTTTTCTGCTGTTTTTCGCCCGTTTTTCCCCGTTTTTTGCCCATTTTTGCTCATTTTTCCCCCTTTTTTCCCCGTTTTTTCACCCTGAACCCCTCTCCCAGTCCCTCCCAGTTTGTCCCAGTACCTCCCAGTCTGTCCCAGTCCATCCCAGTCCCTCCCAGTATCCCCAATCCCCATTTCCCACCAATTTCACCCCAAAACCACCAATTTTTGCCGATTTTTGCCGATTCTTCCCCCGTTTTTCGCCGTTTTTCACCCTTTTTCCCCCGTTTTTTGCCCCAAACCCCCCTCCCAGTCCCTCCCAGTCCCTCCCAGTTTGTCCCAGTTTATCCCAGTATCCCCAAATCCCCATTTCCCAACAATTTAACCCCAAACCTGCCAATTTTTGCCGACTTCTCCCCCGTTTTTCGCCCGTTTTTCCCCGTTTTTCACCCATTTTTTGCCCGTTTTTTACCCTTTTTTCCCCGTTTTTTTCACCCCAAACCCCTCTCCCAGTCTCTCCCAGTACCTCCCAGTCCATCCCAGTCCCTCCCAGTCTCCCCAATCTCCATTCCCCACCAATTTCACCCCAAAACCACCAATTTTTGCCAATTTTTGCCAACTTTTGCCAATTTTTCCCTGTTTTTTACCCTTTATTCCCCATTTTTTCTCCCCAAACCCTCTCCCAGTCCCTCCCAGTCCCTCCCAGTCCCTCCCAGTCCCTCCCAGTCTCCCAAATCCCCATTCCCCACCAATTTCCCCACAAAACCGCCGATTTTTCCCCCATTTTCCCCCATTTTTCGCCGTTTTTCACCCTTTTTTCCCCATTTTTTCACCCCGAACCCCCTCCCAGTTTGTCCCAGTTTATCCCAGTCTCCCCAATCCCCATTTCCCACAGTTTTCACCCCAAAACCACAAATTCTTGCCAATTTTTGCCAATTTTTGCCAATTTTTCTGCTGTTTTTCGCCCGTTTTTCGCTATTTTTCACCCTTTTTTCCCCATTTTTTTTGCTTTTTCCCCCGTTTTTTCACCCAAACCCTCTCCCAGTCGGTCCCAGTGCCCCCCAGTCTCACCCTCGCGCTTCATGCCGGTGGCCAGGCACTTCTGGTAGCGGCAGTACTGGCAGCGGTTGCGCTGCCGCTTGTCCACGACGCACTCGCGGTTGTCGCGGCACGTGTAGGTCAGGTCCTTGCGGATCGTGCGCTTGAAGAAGCCCTTGCAGCCCTCGCAGCTGGACACCCCGTAGTGCTTCCCTGAAAAACAAAAAAATGGGAATTTTCAGGGATTTTGGGAGAAAATCCAAAAAAATCGGCACGAAAATCGGCCTAAAAATGGCGAAAATCGGCCCAGAAACGGCGAAAATCGGCACAGAAATGACAAAAATCCAACCAAAATCAACCCAAAGTGGCCTTGGAGAAGACCTTACATCCCTCACAGCTGAGACTCCATAGTGCTTCCATAAAAAATGGGAATTTTTATGGAATTTGGGAGAAAAATCCCAAAAAAATCGGCGCGAAAATGGCGAAAATCGGCCCAGAAATGGTGAAAATCGACCCAAGATTGACCAAAATCAACCCAAAGTGCCCTTGAAGAAGACCTTGCATCCCTCACAGCTGAGATTCCGGAATGTTTCCCTAAAAGTGGGAATTTTCAGGGAATTTGGGAGAAAAATCCCAAAAAATCGGCGCGAAAACGGCAAAAATCGGCGGAAAAATGGCGAAAATCGGCACAGAAACGGCAAAAATCCAACCAAAATCAACCCAAAGTGGCCTTGAAGAAGACCTTGCAGCCCTCACAGATGAGATTCCGGAATGTTTCCCTAAAAGTGGGAATTTTCAGGGAATTTGGGAGAAAAATCCCAAAAAATCGGTGCAAAAACAGCGAAAATTGGCCCAAAAATGGCAAAAATCGGCCCAGAAACGGCGAAAATCAGCACAAAACCGACACAAATCCAACCAAAATCAAGCCAAAGTGGCCTTGGACAAGCCCCTGAAGCCCTCACATATGAGATTTGGGAATGTTTGTCTGGAAATGGGAATTTTCAGGGAATTTGGGAGAAAATCCCAAAAAATTGCCACAAAAATCAGCCCAAAAATGGAAAAAATCAGCAAAAAATCGACCCAGAAACGGCAAAAATCGACCCAAGATCGACCAGAATTGACCCAAAGTGGCCTTGGAGAAGCCCCTGCAACCCCCAAAGGTGACACTCTGGATTATTTGCCTGGAAATGGGAATTTTTATGGAATTTGGGAGAAAAATCCCAAAAAATCAGCGCAAAAACGGTGAAAATCGGCCCAGAAATGGCGAAAATCGGCCCAAAAATGGCGAAAATCGACCCAAGATCGACCAGGATTGACCCAAAGAGCCCTTGAAGAAGCCCCTGCAATCCCCACAGATGACATTCCGTAGTCCTTCCCTAAAAAATGGGATTTTTTATGGAATTTGGGAGAAAAATCCAAAAAAAATCGGCGCAAAAATGGCAAAAATCGGCCCTGAAATGGTGAAAATCGGCCCAGAAATGGCGAAAATCCAACCAAAATCAACCCAAAGTGGCCTTGGAGAAGCCCCTGCAGCCTTCACAGTTGAGATTCCGTAGTGCTTCCCTAAAACATGGAGATTTTTATGGAATTTGGGAGAAAAATCCCAAAAAAATCGGCGCAAAAATGGCAAAAATCGGCCCAGAAATGGCGAAAATCGGCGCAAAAAATGGTGAAAATCGGCCCAAAAATGACGAAAATCGACCCAAGATTGACCAAAATCAACCCAAAGTGCCCTTGGAGAAGCCCCTGCAGCCCCCAATGGTGAGACTTTGGAATGTTTGCCTGGAAATGGGAATTTTTATGGAATTTGGGAGAAAATCCCCAAAAAATCGGCGCGAAAATGGAGAAAATCGGCCCAAAATCAGCGAAAATCGACCCAAGATTGACCAAAATCAACCCAAAGTGGCCTTGGAGAAGCCCCTGCAGCCCCCAGTGATGAGACTTTGGAATGTTTGCCTGGAAATGGGAATTTTTATGGAATTTGGGATAAAAATCAAAAAAAATTGGCTTAAAATTCCCAAAATATCAGCTCAAAAATCCCAAAATATCAGCTCAAAAATCCCAAAAAATCGGCTCAAAATTCCCAAAAAATCAGCTCAAAATTCCCAAAAAATCAGCTCAAAATTCCCAAAAAACCCGCTCAAAAATCGGAAAAAAAATCGGCTCAAAAATCAAGAAAAAATTGGCTCAAAATTCCCAAAAACTCAGCTCAAAAATCCCAAAAATCAGCTCAAAAGTCCCAAAAAATCGTCTTAAAAATCCCAAAAATTTGTCTCAAAATTCCCAAAAAATCAGCTCAAAAAATCCCAAAAAATCATCTCAAAAATCCCAAAAAATCAGCTCAAAAATCCCAAAAAATCAGCTCAAAATGGAGGAATCACCCAAAGGGGCTTTCCCCCCCCCAAATTCCTATTTTTCCCCCAAAATTCCCCCCCAAATCCCAATTTTCCTCCCATTTTTCCGATAAATCTGATTTTTGGCCCCAAATTTCCCATTTTTTCCCCATTTTTTCCCATTTTTCGCCCATTTTTCCCAATTTTTTTCCCATTTCCCCCATTTTTTCCCATTTTTGCCCAAAATCCCGTTTTTTCACCCCAAACCCGGCTCACCCGAGCTCCTGTCCCCGCAGATGGCGCAGAGGCGCTTCCTGGGCCCCCAAATTCCCATTTTCCCCCAAAAAAATCTCCATTTTTTCCCCAAAAAATCTCATTTTTGCCTAAAAATCACTTTTTTTTTCCCCGTTTTTTGCCCAAAATCCCGTTTTTTCACCCCAAATTCCCCTCACCCGAGCTCCTGTCCCCGCAGATGGCGCAGAGGCGCTTCCTGTGCCCCAAATTCCCATTTTTTTGCCCAAAATCCCCATTTTTCCCCCATTTTCCCCCATTTTTTTCCCATTTTTCCATTTTTTCCCATTTTTTGCCCAAAATCCCGTTTTTTCACCCCAAATCCCCCTCACCCGAGCTCCTGTCCCCGCAGATGGCGCAGAGGCGCTTCCTGTGCCCCCAAATTCCCATTTTTTTGCCAAAAATCCCAGTTTTTTCCCCCTAAAATCTCAATTTTTTTGCCCAAAAATCACTTTTTTTTCCCATTTTTTGCCCAAAATCCCGTTTTTTCGCCCCAAATTCTCCTCACCCGAGCTCCTGTCCCCGCAGATGGCGCAGAGGCGCTTCCTGTGCCCCCAAATTCCCATTTTCCCCCCAAAAAATCTCCATTTTTCCCCCAAAAAATCTCATTTTTGCCTAAAAATCCCTATTTTTTCCCATTTTTTGCCCAAAATCCCATTATTTCACCCCAAATCCCCCTCACCCGAGCTCCTGTCCCCGCAGATGGCGCAGAGGCGCTTCCTGTGCCCCCAAATTCCCTTTTTTTTTGCCAAAAATCTCAATTTTTTGCCCATTTTTTCAGTTTTTGTGCATTTTTTCCCATTTTTTGCCCAAAATCCCATTTTTTCACCCCAAACCCCCCTCACCCGAGCTCCTGTCCCCGCAGATGGCGCAGAGGCGCTTCCTGTGCCCCCAAATTCCAATTTTTTTTGCCAAAAATCCCCATTTTTTCCCCATTTTTTGCCCATTTTTTCCATTTTTTCCCATTTTTGCCCAAAATCCCGTTTTTTTCACCCCAAATTCCCCTCACCCGAGCTCCTGTCCCCGCAGATGGCGCAGAGGCGTTTTCTGTGCCCCAAAATTCTCCATTTTTTTACCAAAAATCCCCATTTTCCCAGTTTTTTGCCTATTTTTACCATTTTTTCACCATTTTTTCCCATTTTTTGCCCAAAATCCCGTTTTTTCGCCCCAAATTCCCCTCACCCGAGCTCCTGTCCCCGCAGATGGCGCAGAGGCGCTTCCTGTGCCCCCAAATTCCCATTTTTTTGCCAAAAATCCCAGTTTTTTCCCCCCAAAATCTCAATTTTTTTGCCCAAAAATCACTTTTTTTCCCATTTTTGGACCATTTTTTTCCCATTTTTTGCCCAAAATCCCGTTTTTTCGCCCCAAACCCGGCTCACCCGAGCTCCTGTCCCCGCAGATGGCGCAGAGGCGCTTCCTGTGCCCCCAAATTCCCATTTTTTTGCCAAAAATCCCCGTTTTTCCCCATTTTTTGCCCATTTTACCATTTTTTCCCATTTTTTGCCCAAAATCCCGTTTTTTCGCCCCAAATTCTCCTCACCCGAGCTCCTGTCCCCGCAGATGGCGCAGAGGGGCTTCCTGTGCCCCCAAATTCCCATTTTTTTGCAAAAAATCCCCATTTTTTTCCCATTTTTTCCCCATTTTCCCCATTTTTTCCCCATTTTTTCATTTTTTTCCCATTTTTTGCCCAAAATCCCGTTTTTTCACCCCAAACCCGGCTCACCCGAGCTCCTGTCCCCGCAGATGGCGCAGAGGCGCTTCCTGTGCCCCCAAGTTCCCATTTTTTTTGCCAAAAATCCCCATTTTTTGCCCATTTTCCCCCATTTTTTGCCTATTTTTACCATTTTTTCCCATTTTTTGCCCAAAATCCCGTTTTTTCGCCCCAAATCCGGCTCACCCGAGCTCCTGTCCCCGCAGATGGTGCAGAGGCGCTTCCTGTGCCCCCAAATTCCCATTTTTTTGCCAAAATCTCTATTTTTTTTCCCAAAAATCCCTTTTTTTTTTCCAATTTTTTGCCCATTTTTCCCATTTTTTCCCGTTTTTTGCCCAAAATCCCGTTTTTTCACCCCAAATTCTCCTCACCCGAGCTCCTGTCCCCGCAGATGGCGCAGAGGCGCTTCCTGTGCCCCAAATCCCCATTTTTTTGCCAAAAATTTCCATTTTTTGCCCATTTTCCCCGATTTTTTGCCGATTTTTTCCATTTTTCCCATTTTTGCCCAAAATCCCGTTTTTTCGCCCCAAACCCGGCTCACCCGAGCTCCTGTCCCCGCAGATGGCGCAGAGGCGCTTCCTGTGCCCCCAAATTCCCATTTTCCCCCCAAAAATCTCTATTTTTCCACTAAAAAAATTTCATTTTTGCCCAAAAATCACTTTTTTCCCATTTTTTGCCCAAAATCCCGTTTTTTCACCCCAAATCCCCCTCACCCGAGCTCCTGTCCCCGCAGATGGCGCAGAGGCGCTTCCTGTGCCCCCAAATTCCCATTTTTTGCCAAAAATCCCCATTTTTTTCTCATTTTCCCCCATTTTTTTCCCATTTTTTCCATTTTTTCCCATTTTTGCCCAAAATCCCGTTTTTTCACCCCAAATCCGGCTCACCCGAGCTCCTGTCCCCGCAGATGGCACAGAGATGCTTCCTGTGCCCCCAAATTCCCATTTTCCCCCAAAAATCCCTATTTTTTTGCCCAAAAATCCCCTTTTTTTCCCCATTTTTTGCCCATTTTTTCCATTTTTTCCCATTTTTTGCCCAAAATCCCGTTTTTTCACCCCAAATTCCCCTCACCCGAGCTCCTGTCCCCGCAGATGGCGCAGAGGCGCTTCCTGTGCCCCCAAATTCCCTTTTTTTTTGCCAAAAATCCCAATTTTTTGCCAAATTTTTCCTCTTTTCCCATTTTTTCCCCATTTTTTCCCATTTTTTGCCCAAAATCCCGTTTTTTCACCCCAAATTCCCCTCACCTGAGCTCCTGTCCCCGCAGATGGCGCAGAGGCGCTTCCTGTGCCCCAAATTCCCATTTTTTTCCCAAAAATCCCATTTTTTTTCCAATTTTTTGCCCATTTTTTCCATTTTTCCCATTTTTTGCCCAAAATCCCGTTTTTTCACCCCAAACCCGGCTCACCTGAGCTCCTGTCCCCGCAGATGGCGCAGAGGCGCTTCCTGTGCCCCTAAATTCCCATTTTTTTTGCCAAAATCTCTATTTTTTTGCCCCAAAATCACATTTTTGCCCAAAAATCACTTTTTTTTCCCATTTTTTGCCCAAAATCCGCATTTTTCACCCTAAGTCCCCCTCACCCGAGCTCCTGTCCCCGCAGATGGCGCAGAGGCGCTTCCTGTGCCCCCAAATTCCCATTTTTTTGCCAAAAATCCCCATTTTTTCCCCATTTTCCCCGATTTTTTGCCCATTTTTTTCATTTTTTCCCGTTTTTTGCCCAAAATCCCATTTTTTCGCCCCAAATTCCCCTCACCCGAGCTCCTGTCCCCGCAGATGGCGCAGAGGCGCTTCCTGTGCCCCAAAATTCCAAATTTCCCTAAAAAAATCTCTATTTTTTTGCCCAAAAATCTCATTTTTGCCCAAAAATAACATTTTTTTCCCATTTTTTTCCCAAAATCCCGTTTTTTCACCCCAAATTCTCCTCACCCGAGCTCCTGTCCCCGCAGATGGCGCAGAGGCGCTTCCTGTGCCCCCAAATTACCATTTTTTTTGCCAAAAATCCCCATTTTTTCCACAAAAAATCTCATTTTTGCCTAAAAATTACTCTTTTTTTTCCATTTTTGCCCAAAATCCCGTTTTTTCACCCCAAACCCGGCTCACCCGAGCTCCTGTCCCCGCAGATGGCGCAGAGGCTCTTCCTGTGCCCCCAAACTCCCATTTTTCCCCAAAAATCTCTATTTTTCCACCCAAAAATCTCATTTTTGCTCAAAAATCACTTTTTTCCCCATTTTTTGCCCATTTTTCCCATTTTTTGCCCAAAATCCCGTTTTTTCACCCCAAATTCTCCTCACCGGAGCTCCTGTCCCCGCAGATGGCGCAGAGGCGCTTCCTGTGCCCCCAAATTCCCATTTTCCCCCAAAAAAACTCTATATTTTTGCCAAAAAAATCTCATTTTTGCCTAAAAATCACTTTTTTTTCCCATTTTTTGCCCAAAATCCCATTTTTTCACCCCAAATCCCCCTCACCGGAGCTCCTGTCCCCGCAGATGGCGCAGAGGCGCTTCCTGTGCCCCCAAATTCCCATTTTTTTACCAAAATCCTCATCTTTTCCCCATTTTTTGCCCATTTTTTCCATTTTTTCCCATTTTTTGCCCAAAATCCCGTTTTTTCACCCCAAATCCGGCTCACCCGAGCTCCTGTCCCCGCAGATGGCGCAGAGGCGCTTCGTGTGCCCCCAAATTCCCTTTTTTTTGCCAAAAATCCCAGTTTTTTTCCCTATAATCTCAATTTTTTTGCCCAAAAATCACTTTTTTTGCCCATTTTTTGCCCAAAATCCCGTTTTTTCGCCCCAAACCCGGCTCACCCGAGCTCCTGTCCCCGCAGATGGCGCAGAGGCTCTTCCTGTACCCCCAAATTCCCATTTTTTTGCCAAAAATCTGAGTTTTTTCCCCCCAAAATCTCAATTTTTTTGCCCAAAAATCACATTTTTTTCCCGTTTTTTGCCCAAAATCCCATTTTTTCGCCCCAAATTCTCCTCACCGGAGCTCCTGTCCCCGCAGATGACGCAGAGGCGCTTCCTGTGCCCGCAAATTCCCATTTTTTTGCCAAAAATCCCAGTTTTTTCCCCCCAAAATCTCAATTTTTTTGCCCAAAAATCACTTTTTTTCCCATTTTTTGCCTAAAATCCCGTTTTTTCACCCCAAATCCGGCTCACCCGAGCTCCTGTCCCCGCAGATGGCGCAGAGGCACTTTCTGTGCCCCCAAATTCCCATTTTTTTGCCAAAAATCCCATTTTTTGCCCATTTTTTGCCCATTTTTTGTCCATTTTTTCATTTTTTTCCCATTTTTTGCCCAAAATCCCGTTTTTTCACCCCAAATCCCCCTCACCCGAGCTCCTATCCCCGCAGATGGCGCAGAGGCTCTTCCTGTACCCCCAAATTCCCATTTTTTTTTTCCAAAAATCCCCATTTTTTGCTCATTTTTTCAGTTTTTGCCCATTTTTTTTTCCATTTTTGCCCAAAATCCCGTTTTTTCACCCCAAATCCCCCTCACCCGAGCTCCTATCCCCGCAGATGGTGCAGAGGCGCTTCCTGTGCCCCCAAATTCCCTTTTTTTTTGCCAAAAATCCCCATTTTTTGCCCATTTTTTCAGTTTTTCCCCATTTTTTTCCATTTTTTGCCCAAAATCCCATTTTTTCACCCCAAATCCGGCTCACCCGAGCTCCTGTCCCCGCAGATGGTGCAGAGGCGCTTCCTGTGCCCCTAAATTCCCATTTTTTTTGCCAAAAATCCCCATTTTTTGACCATTTTTTCCTTTTTTCCCATTTTTTGACCATTTTTTCCCGTTTTTTGCCCAAAATCCCATTTTTTCACCCCAAATTCCCCTCACCTGAGCTCCTGTCCCCGCAGATGGCGCAGAGGCGCTTCCTGTGCCCCCAAATTCCCATTTTTTTGCCCAAAATCCCCATTTTTCCTCCATTTTTTTCCCATTTTTTCCATTTTTTCCCATTTTTGCCCAAAATCCCGGTTTTTCACCCCAAATTCCCCTCACCCGAGCTCCTGTCCCCGCAGATGTTGCAGAGGCGCTTCCTGTGCCCCCAAATTCCCATTTTTTTGCCAAAAATCCCAGTTTTTTTCCCTATAATCTCAATTTTTTTGCCCAAAAATCACTTTTTTTGCCCATTTTTTGCCCAAAATCCCGTTTTTTCACCCCAAATCCGGCTCACCCGAGCTCCTGTTCCCGCAGATGGCGCAGAGGCGCTTCCTGTGCCCCAAATTCCCATTTTTTTGCCAAAAATCCCAGTTTTTTCCCCCCAAAATCTCAATTTTTTTGCCCAAAAATCAATTTTTTCCCATTTTTTGCCCAAAATCCCGTTTTTTCACCCCAAATCCGGCTCACCCGAGCTCCTGTCCCCGCAGATGGCGCAGAGGCGCTTCCTGTGCCCCAAATCCCCATTTTTTTTGCCAAAAATCCCAATTTTTTGCCCATTTTCCCCGATTTTTTGCCTATTTTTACCTTTTTTTTCCCATTTTTTGCCCAAAATCCCGTTTTTTCGCCCCAAATTCCCCTCACCCGAGCTCCTGTCCCCGCAGATGGCGCAGAGCCTCTTGCCGGGGCCGTGGGGGGCGCAGGGGGGGACCCCCCGAATTCCCAGCGGGGGTTTCACGTCCTCGGGGGCGCCCCCGGGCGGCAGCGCCAGCGGCACCGTGGGGTTAATCTGGGGAAAAAAAACACAATTTTGGGAAAATTTACACCATAAAAAAAATCACCATTATTACCCCCAAATTCCCCATTTTCCCCCAAAATCGCATTAAATCCCAAAATCCCCATTATTCCCATAAAATCCGCACTTTTCCCCAAAAAATCCCCATCTTTCCCCCCAAAATCCCCATTTTTCCCCAAAATCCCCATTATTTCCCCAAAATCCCCATTATTTCCCCAAAATCCCCATTATTTTCCCCAAAATCCCCATTTTCCCCCCAAAATCCCTTTATTTTCCCCCCAAACACCCATTTTTACCTATTTTCCCCCCCAAACCCCCATTTCCCCCCCAAAATCCCCAATTTTTCCCATTTTCCCCACAAAATCCCTTTATTTTTCCCCAAAATCCCCATTTTCCCCCATTTTTCCCACAAAATCCCTTTATTTTTCCCCCAAACCCCCATTTTCCCCATTTTTCTTCCCAAATTTTTCCCCCCATTTCCCCATTTTTCCGCCAAACCCCCATTTTCCCCATTTTCCCCCAAACCCTGCTATTTTTCCCATTTTCCCCCAAAATCCCTTTATTTTCCCCCCAAACCCCCATTTCCCCCCAATTTTTCCCATTTTTTCCCCAAAATCCCAATTTTTCCCATTTTCCCCCCAAAATCCCTTTATTTTTTTTCCCCTAAACCCCCATTTTTCCCCCCATTTTCCCCCCCAAAATCCCCATTTTCTCCCCCTATTTTTCCCATTTTTTCTCCCAAAATCCCCAAATTTTCCCTATTTTTCCCCCAAACCCCCAGTTTTTCCCATTTTCCCTCCAAAATCCCTTTATTTTCCCCCCAACCCCAATTTCCCCCATAACCCAAATTTTTCCCATTTTCCCCCAAAATCCCCTTATTTTTTTCCCCCAAACCCCCATTTTTTCCCCCAAAACCCCCAGTTTTTCCCATTTTTCCCCCAAACCCCCAATTTTTCCCATTTTCTCCCCAAAATCCCTTTATTTTTTCCCCAAACCCCCATTTTCCCCATTTTTTCCCCCAAACCCCTATTTTTCCCCATTTTCCCCCCCAAATCCCCAATTTTCCCCTCCATTTTCCCCCAAAATCCCCATTTTTCCCCCCTATTTTTCCCATTTTTCCCCCAAAATCCCCATTTTCCCCAATTTTCCCCATTTTCCCCCCAAACCCCCAAAATCCCCATTTTTTCCCCCCAAACCCCCATTTCCCCCATTTTTCCCCCCAAAACCCCCATTTTTCCCATTTTCCCCCCAAAACCCCCAATTTTTCCCATTTTCCCCCAAAATCCCTTTATTTTCCCCCCAAACCCCCATTTTCCCCCAAAATACCTTTATTTTTCCCCCCCATTTTTCCCATTTTCCCCCAAAATCCCCATTTCCCTCCTATTTTTCCCATTCCCCCCCCCAAAATCCCTTTATGTTTCTCCCCTGTTTTCCCCCCAAACCCCCATTTTCCCATTTTTCCCCCAAATCCTCCAATTTTTCCCCATTTTACCCCCAAAATCCCAATTTTTTTCCCCCAAAACCCCCAATTTTCCCATTTTCTCCCCAAAATCCCTTCATTTCCCCCCAAACCCCCATTTTCCCCCCCAAAAATCCCCATTTCCCCCCAAAATCCCTTTATTTTTCCCCCAAAACCCCCATTTCTCCCCCATTTTTCCCCAAAATTCCTTTTTTTTTCCCCAAAATCCCCATTTTTCCCCCCAATTTTTCACATTTTTTCCCCAAAATCCCCAATTTTTCCCATTTTCCCCCCAAATCCCCAATTTTTCCCATTTTCCCCCCAAATCCCCATTTTCCCCCCGTATTTTTCCCATTTTCCCCCCCAAACCCCCCTTTTTTTCCCATTCTCCCCCAAATCCCCATTTCCCCCCTCCTTTTCCCCATTTTTCCCCCAAAATCACCATTTTCCCCATTTCCCCCCAAAATCCCCATTTTTCCCGCCAAAATCCCCAAATTTTCCCTATTTTTCCCCCAAACCCCCAGTTTTCCCCATTTTCCCCCAAAATCCCTTTATTTCCCCCCCATTTTCCCCCCAATTTTTCCCATTTTCCCCAAAAATCCCCATTTTCTCCCCTATTTTTCACATTTTTCCCCAAAATACCCAATTTTCCCCCAAAATTCCTTTATTTTTTCCCCCAAAAATCCCCAATTTCCCCTTTTTCCCCCCAAAACCCCCATTCGCCCCCCAATTTTCCCCATTTTTCCCCCAAACCCCCATTTACCCCATTTTTCCCCCAAAACCCCAATTTTTCCCCCATTTTCCCCCAAAATCCCCATTTTCCCCCTGTATTTTTCCCATTTTCCCCCCATTTTTCCCATTTTCCCCATTTTTCCCCCCAAAATCCCCCATTTCTCACCTGTGCCCCCCCGCCGGGGGCTCCGTAGCCGATGTTTTGGGGTGACCCCCGCGAGGCGCTGATGACGGGAAATGGGGACCCCAAACCCGCGGGGGGGGACCCCAAACCCGCGGGGGGTGACCCCAAATTTGGGGGTGACCCCAAATTGGGGGGGGACCCCAAATTGGGGGGGGCGGGGCCCAAATTTGGGGGGGACCCCATGGCGGGGGGGGGAGGGGAGGCGGCGCTCGAGCTGTCGGGGCTGCGGCAGTCTGCGGGGACAGGGGGGGGGGGGACCCCAAAATTCCGTCAGAGACCCCGAAATTTACAGTGAAAACACAGAAAAATGCCCAAAATTGCATTAAAATGGCAAAAAATCGCATTAAAATCGCATCTCAGGATCCCCAAAACCTCCTCAGGATCCCCAAAATCCCCTCAGGACCCCCCAAATTCCCTCAGGATCCCCTCAGGATCCCCAAAACCTCCTCAGGATCCCCAAAATCCCCTCAGATCCCCTCAGGACCCCCAAAACCTCTTCAGGATCCCCAAAACCCCCTCAGGACCCCCCAAATCCCTTCAGGACCCCCAAAACCCCCTCAAACCCCCCAAACCCCCTCAGGACACCCAAAATCCCCTCAGGATCCCCAAAACCTCCTCAGGACACCCCAAAATCCCCTCAGGATCCCCAGTTCTCCCTCACGATCCCCAAAACCCCCTCAGGATCCCCTCAGACCCCCCCAATTCCCCTCAGCCCACCCAACCCCCCTCAGGATCCCCAAAACCTCCTCACATCCCCTCAGACCCCCCCAAACCCCCTCAGAACCCCCCAAACCCCCTCACATCCCCTCAGGATCCCCCCAAATCCCCTCAGGACCCCCAAAACCTCCTCAGGACCCCTCACATCCCCTCAGACCCCCCCAAATCCCCCTCACATCCCCTCAGGACCCCCCCAAACCCCCTCAGGATCCCCAAAACCCCCTCACATCCCCTCAGGAACCCCCAATTCCCCTCAGGATCCCCAAAACCCCCTCACATCCCCTCAGGATCCCCAAAACCCCCTCAGGACCCCTCACATCCCCTCAGCATCCCCAAAATCCCCTCACATCCCCTCAGCATCCCCAAACCCCCTCAGACCCCCCCAAATCCCCTCAGGATCTCCTAAACCTCTTCGCACCCCCTCAGACCCTCTCAAACCCCCTCAGGATCTCCTCAGACCCCCCAAATTCCCTCAGGATCCCCAAAACCCCCTCAGGATCCCAAAATCCCCCTCACATCCCCTCAGACCTCCCCAAAAACCTCTTCACATCCCCTCAGGATCCCAAAATCCCCCTCAGGATCCCCAAAACCTCCTCACATCCCCTCAGGATCCCCAAAACCCCCTCACATCCCCTCAGGACCCCTCACATCCCCTCAGGACCCCCAAATCCCCTCACATCCCCTCAGGATCCCCAAACCCCCTCAGGACCCGTCACATCCCCTCAGGATCCCCCAATTCCCCTCAGGATCCCCAAAACCTCTTCACATCCCCTCAGGATCCCCAAAACCCCCTCACATCCCCTCAGACCTTCCCAAAACCTCCTCACATCCCCTCAGGATCCCCAAAACCCCCCCAGATCCCCCCAGACCCCCCCAAAACCCCCTCAGGATCCCAAAATCCCCTCACATCCCCTCAGGACCCCTCAGATCCCCTCACGATCCCCAAAACCTCCTCACATCCCCTCAGGATCCCCCCAAATCCCCTCAAACGCCTCCAAACCCCCTCAGGACACCCCAAAATCCCCCTCAGGACCCCCCCAATTCCCCTCAGAATCCCAAAATCCCCCTCAGGATCCCTCACATCCCCTCAGACCCCCTCAAAACCCCCTCACATCTCCTCAGGAGCCCCCAATTCCCCTCAGGACCCCCCAAACCCCCTCACATCCCCTCAGGATCCCCAAAACCCCCTCAGACCTCCCCAAAACCCCCTCACATCCCCTCAGGATCCCCAAATCCCCTCAGGATCACCCAAAACCTCTTCACATTCCCTCAGGATCCCCAAATCCCCTCAGGATCCCCAAAACCTCCTCACATCCCCTCAGGACCCCCAAAACCCCCTCAGCATCCCAAAATCCCCCTCACATCCCCTCAGGACCCCCCAATTCCCCTCAGGATCCCCAAAATCCCCTCTCATCCCCTCAGGATCCCCCAAATTCCCTCAGACACCCCCAAAATCCCCCTCACATCCCTTCAAGACCCCTCACATCCCCTCAGGATCCCCCAAACCCCCTCAGACCCCCCCAAATCCCCTCAGGATCTCCTAAACCTCTTCGCACCCCCTCAGACCCTCTCAAACCCCCTCAGGATCTCCTCAGACTCCCCCAATTCCCCTCAGGATCCCCAAAACCTCCTCAGGACCCCCAGTTCTCCCTCACAACCCCCAAACCCCCTCTGGATTCCAAAATCCCCCTCACATCCCCTCAGGATCCCCAATTCCCCTCAGGACCCCCCAATTCCCCTCACATCCCCTCAGATCCCCCCAAAATCTCCTCACATCCCCTCAGGACCCCCCAAACCCCCTCAGGATCCCAAAACCTCCTCACATCCCCTCAAGACCCCCCAATTCCCCTCAGGATCCCCCAAACCCCCTCACATCCCCTCAGGACCCCCCAAACCCCCTCAGGACCCGTCACATCCCCTCAGGATCCCCAAAACCCCCTCAGATCCCCTCAGGATCCCCAAAACCTCCTCGGGATCCCAAAATCCCCCTCACATCCCCTCAGACCTCCCCAAAACCCTCCCAGATCCCCTCAGGATCCCCTAAACCCCCTCAGGATCCCCAAAACCCCCTCAGGATCCCCAAAACCCCCTCACATCCACTCAGGACCCCCCAAACCCCCTCACATCCCCTCAGGATCCCCAAAACCCCCTCAGGACCCCCAAAACCTCTTCACATCCCCTCACATCCCCTCAGGACCCCCCAAACCCCCTCATGATCCCCAAAACCCCCTCACATCCCCTCAGGAACCCCTAAACCCCCTCACATCCCCTCAGGACCCCCCAAAACCTCTTCACATCCCCTCAGGATCCCCTAAACCCCCTCAGGATCCCCTCAGACCCCCTCAGGATCCCCAAAACCCCTCACATCCCCTCAGGACCACCAAAACCCCCTCACATCCCCTCAGGACCCCCCAAACCCCCTCAGGATCCCCAAAACCTCCTCAGGATCCTAAAATCCCCCTCACATCCCCTCAGGATCCCCCAATTCCCCTCAGGATCCCCTAAACCCCCTCACATCCCCCCAGACCCCCCCAAATCCTCCTCACATCCCCTCAGGATCCCCAAAACCCCCTCAGGACCCCTCACATCCCCTCAGACCCCCCAAAACTTCCTCAGGATCCTAAAATCCCCCTCACATCCCCTCAGGATCCCAAAATCCCCCTCAGGATCCCCAAAACCCCCTCACATCCCCTCAGGATCCCCAAAACCTCCTCAGGATCCTAAAATCCCCCTCACATCCCCTCAGGCCCCCCCAAACCCCCTCAGGATCCCCCAATTCCCCTCAGGACCCCCAGTTCCCCCTCACAACCCCCAAACCCCCTCAGACCTCCCCAAAACCTCCTCACATCCCCTCAGGACCCCCCAAACCCTCTCAGGATCCCCAAAACCTCCTCAGGATCCTAAAATCCCCCTCACATCCCCTCAGCATCCCCAAAACCTCCTCACATCCCCTCAGGACCCCCCAAACCCCCTCAGGATCCCAAAATCCCCCTCACATCCCCTCAGGATCCCCAAAACCCCCTCAGACCTCCCCAAAATCCCCCTCACATCCCCTCAGGATCCCCAAAACCTCCTCAGGATCCCCAAAACCCCCTCACATCCCCTCAGGACCCCCCAAACCCCCTCAGGATCCCAAAATCCCCCTCACATCCCCTCAGACCCCCCCAAATCCCCTCACATCCCCTCAGGACCCGCCAAACCCCCTCAGGATCCCCATATCCCCCTCACATCCCCTCAGGACCCGCCAAACCCCCTCAGGATCCCCATATCCCCCTCACATCCCCTCAGGATCCCCAAACCCCCTCAGGATCCCCTAAACCTCCTCAGGACCCCTCACATCCCCTCAGACCCCCCCAAAACCCCTTCACATCCCCTCAGACCCCCCCAAACCCCCTCACATCCCCTCAGACCCCCTCACATCCCCTCAGGATCCCCAAAATCCCCTCAGGACCCCCCAAACCCCTCAGCCCCCCCCCAGTTCCCCCCACCCCCTCCCCGCTCCCGCTCCGCCGCCACCCGGGACTGACCGCGGTCGCTGTCGCCCATCCCGCGCTGCCGGGGGGGGTCCCGGGGCTCCCTCGGCGCCCCCAAATTCCCGCCCCGCCCCCCCCCCCCCCCCGCGGCCCCGGTGCCGGCCCCGCTCCGCCGCCGCCGGGCCCCACCGGGCCCACAATGCACCGCGCCCGCCGCCGCAGCTCCGCCCCGCGCCGCCATGGACGGAGGTGGGCGGGAGGGAGCGTGAGGCGGCTCCGGGAACGGGGATTGCAGCGGGAGGGAGGCGTGAGGCGGCTCCGGGACCGGGGATGGAAGCGGGGATGGGGACGGCAGGGAGACGTGAGGCGGCTCCGGGACCGGGGATGGGAACGGGGATGGGGACGGGAGGGAGGCGTGAGGCGGCTCCGGGACCGGGATGGGAACCGGGGATGGGGATGGGAATGGGAACGGGGATGAGAGCGGGAGGGAGGCGTGAGGCGGCTCCGGGAACCGGGATGGGAACGGGATAGGAACGGGGATGGGACCGGGGATGGGAACGGGGAGCGGGACCGGGGATGGGGACGGCAGGGAGACGTGAGGCGGCTCAGGGAACGGGGATGGGACCGGGGATGGGGACGGGAGGGAGGCGTGAGGCGGCTCCGCGACTGGGGACGGGGATGGGGATGGGAACGGGAACGGGAGCGGGAGGGAGGCGTGAGGCGGCTCCGGCACCGGGACCGGGAGGGGGGCGTGAGGCGGCTCCGGGACCGGGACCGGGAGGGAGGCGTGAGGCGGCTCCGGGACCGGGAGGGAGGCGTGAGGCGGCTCCGGGACCGGGAACGGGAGCAGGAGGGAACATGAGGCGGCTCCGGGACCGGGGATGGGGACGGGGATGGGGATGGGGATGGGATGGGACCGGGGATGGGGACGGGAGGGAGGCGTGAGGCGGCTCCGGGAACGGGGATGAGAGCGGGGATGGGGATAGGATGGGAGCGGGAACGGGAGCGGGAGGGAGGCGTGAGGCGGCTCCGGGACCGGGGATGGGGATGGGGATGGGAACGGGAACGAGAGCGGGAGGGAGGCGTGAGGCGGCTCCGGGACCGGGGACGGGGATGGGGATGGGATGGGATGGAAGCAGGAACGGGAGCGGGAGGGAGCGTGAGGCGGCTCCGGGACCGGGAACGGGAGGGAGGCGTGAGGCGGCTCCGGGACTGGGAATGGGGATGGGGATGGGATGGGATGGGAACGGGAACGGGAGCGGGAGGGAGGCGTGAGGCGGCTCCGAGACCGGGAATGGGAACGAGACCAGGTCGGGGCCGGGACCCGGTCTGAGATAGAACCGGGGATGGGAACGGGGATGGGTCAGGACTGGGAATGGGAACGGGAGCGGGGCTGGGCCGGGACCGGGCTGGGAGCGGGACTGGGGATGGGAACGGGAGTGGGACCGGGACCAGGACTGGGGATGGGAACCGGGACCGGGGCTGGGCCGGTACTGGGGATGGGTCGGGACTGGCTCTGGGCCGAGACCGGGACCAGGACCCGGTCTGAGCTGGAGCCGGCTCTGAGCCGGGAACGGGGCCCGGGATCAGTCGGGACTGGCTCTGGGCCGGGACCGGGAATGGGAATGGGAACGGGAGCGGGTCTAGGCCGGGACTGGGACCGGGGCCACGACCGGCTCTGGGCCGGGGCTGGACTGGGACCGGGGCCAGGACCAGCTCTGGACCGGGGCTGGACTGGGACCGGGACCGGGACCAGGTCTAGGCTGGGACCGGGTTTGGTCTGGAGGCGGCTCTGGGCCGGGACCGGCTCTGATCTGGACCGGGACCGGCTCCTCAGGTGCCACCAGCTCCAAGTGTCACCAAGAGCCACCCAAGTGCCACCAGCTCCTCGAGTGCCACCAGGTCCAAGTGTCACCAAGAGTCCCCTGAGTGCCACCAGCTCCAAGTGTCACCAAGAGTCCCCTGAGTGCCACCAGGTCCAAGTGTCACCAAGAGTCCTGTAAGTGCCACCAGGTCCTCGAGTGCCACCAGCTGCAGGTGTCACCAAGAGCCCCCCGAGTGCCACCAGGTCCTCAAATGCCACCACCTCCAAGTGTCACCAAGAGTCCCCTGAGTGCCACCAGCCCCTCGAGTGCCACCAGCTCAAAGTGTCACCAAGAGTCCCCTGAGTGCCACCAGCCCCTCGAGTGCCACCAGCTCCAAGTGTCACCAAGAGCCCCTTGAGTGCCACCAGCTCCTCAGGTGCCACCAGCTCCAAGTGTCACCAAGAGCCACCCAAGTGCCACCAGCTCCTCATGTGCCACTGAAATGTAAACTTTAAGGCATTTAGTGATTTTTGAGGAGCTAAAATTTTAGTTAGAAATAAGCCTTACTAGAGTTAATTAAAATAAGAATAATAAATGAGTAGGCCTTAATGAAGTTAGGAGTTAGTAGTTAACTAATAATTAATTGCTTGTCAGCACAATGTTTGGTTAGCTGGGTTTATAATGAAGAATATAGAAACTGATAAATAGCTTTTAGGAACATAAGACAATTGTGGGCCTCCTCTGTTCTGAAACCAATTGAAGACAAGGAATGGGAGTTCCACCAAGAGTTTATTTGTTGTATTTGCATTGAAAAGGTAGAAAGGTCAGAACGAGGAAGACTTCATTTACTTCCTCATTTTGGGACCCCTCCCCATGAAAGGGACCACCGACCCATTTCAAGGGACAAACTATGCATGCTTAATAGCTTTTGGAGTGATTAGCGTACGAAGCGGGGAATGGGATGTACCAAAATGATGAATATGCATTTGTATTTTGTATATTCAATACTTGTATGGATAAAAAGACTCTGTAATCACCTGGAAGCTGCGGTGTGGATTTGGGAGCTGTCCCACACACAATAAACACACACTTTCTAACTTTAAACTGTTAGAAAGTTTTTGTCTGTCACAGTTGGATATTGAAACTAGATTAATATCTATATTTTTTTAATAAATCGCCACCAGCTCCAAGTGTCACCAAGAGCCCCTCTTTCTATCCAAATCTCGCGATGTTTCGCCCGAAGCCGCGCCGCCATCTTTATTTTGGGCAGCTTTGCCCTTACCCCGATGTTAGTTCCCCCTCTCGCATCCCGTGTAATCTCGCGATAATCCGCCTTGAAGCGGCGCCGCCATCTTTACTACGGGCGGATTCTGCCCTTCGGCCGCGCCCCGCTTCTCGCGGGAGATCTCGCGAGATCTCGCCGTGCCACGTTCCCGGGCTTTTGGAGGTACCGGCGCCTCCCCCAGAGGTTTTTTTGGGGAGTTTCGGGGGTTTTGGGGGATTTTGGGGTGTTCTGGAGGGGCTGAGGGGACAGAAAGGGTCAGAGGAAAGGATTGGGAGGGGTATTGGGGAGGCGGGGTGGGGGTTTGGGGGGTCCTGAGCGGAATCTTGAGGGGGATCTGGGGGTCCTGAGGGGGCCTTGAGGTGATTTGGGGTATCCTGAAGGGATTTGGGGGATCCTGAGGGGATTTGGGGGATCCTGAGGGGATTTGGGGTATCCTGAAGGGATTTGGGGGATCCTGAGGGGATTTGGGGAGGGTTTAGGGGTCCTGAGGGGCGTCTGAGGGGATTTGGGGGATCCTGAGGGGATTTGGGGGATCCTGAGGGGATTTGGGGGATCCTGAAGGGATTTGGGGGGTCCTGAGGTGATTTGGGGTATCCTGAAGGGATTTGGGGGATCCTGAGGGGATTTGGGGGATCCTGAGGGGATTTGGGGAGGGTTTAGGGATCCTGAGGGGCGTCTGAGGGGAGTTGGAGATGCTGAGGGGATTTTGAGGGTCTTGGGAGTGATTTTGGGGTTCCTGAGGGGGTTTTGGGGGATCCTGAAGGGATTTGGGGGATCCTGAGGGGATTTGGGGAGGGTTTAGGGGTCCTGAGGGGGCTCTGAGGGGATTTGGGGGGTCCTGAGGGGATTTGGGGGATCCTGAGGGGATTTTTGGGTGTCTTGAGGGGATTTGGGGGATCCTGAAGGGATCTGGGAGATCCTGAGAGGATCTGGGGATCCTGAGGGGATTTTGGGGGTCCTGAGGGGATTTTGGGGATCCTGAGGTGATATTTGAGTGTCCTGAGGGGATTTTGGGTGTCCTGAGTGAATTTTGGGTGCCCTGAGGGAATTTTGGGTGCCCTGAGTGAATTTTGGGTGCCCTGAGTGGATTTTGGGTGCCCTGAGTGAATTTTGAGTGCCCTGAGGGGATTTTGGGTGCCCTGAGGGAATTTTGGGTGCCCTGAGTGAATTTTGGTTACCATGAGGGAATTTTGGGTACCCTGAGTGGATTTTGGGTGCCCTGAAGGAATTTTGGGTGCCCTGAGTGAATTTTGGGGATCCTGAAGGAATTTTGGGTGCCCTGAGTGAATTTTGGGTGCCCTGAGTGAATTTTGGGTGCCCTGAGTGAATTTTGGGTGCCCTGAGTGGATTTTGGGTGCCCTGAGGGAATTTTGGGGTGCCCTGAGGGAATTTTTGGTGCCCTGAGTGAATATTGGGTGCCCTGAGGGGATTTTGGGTGCCCTGAGTGAATTTTGGGTGCCCTGAGTGAATTTTGGGTGCCCTGAGTGAATTTTGGGTGCCCTGAGGGAATTTGGGGTGCCCTGAGTGAATTTTGGGTGCCCTGAGTGAATTTTGGGTGCCCTGAGGGAATTTTGGGTGCCCTGAAGGAATTTTGGGTGCCCTGAGGGAATTTTGGGTGCCCTGAGTGAATTTTAGGTGCCCTGAGGGAATTTTGGGTGCCCTGAAGGGATTTTGGGGTGCCCTGAGTGAATTTTGGGTGCCCTGAGTGAATTTTGGGTGCCCTGAGTGAATTTTGGGTGCCCTGAGGGAATTTTTGGAGATCCTGAGTGAATTTTGGGTGCCCTGAGGGAATTTTGGGTGCCCTGAGGGAATTTTGGGTGCCCTGAGGGAATTTTGGGTGCCCTGAGGGTTTTTTGGGTGCCCTGAGGGAATTTTGGGTGCCCTGAGGGAATTTTGGGTGCCCTGAGGAAATTTGGGGTGCCCTGAGGGGATTTTGGGTGCCCTGAGAGGATTTTGGGTGTCCTGAGGGGATTTTGGGTGCCCTGAGTGGATTTTGGGTGCTCTGAGGGGATTTTGGGTGCCCTGAGGGGATTTTGGGTGCTCTGAGGGAATTTTGGGTGCCCTGAGTGGATTTTGGGTGCCCTGAGTGGATTTTGGGTGCCCTGAGGGAATTTTGGGTGCCCTGAGGGAATTTTGGGTGCCCTGAGGGAATTTTGGGTGCTCTGAGGGGATTTTGGGGATCCTGAGGTGATTTTTGGGTTTCCTGAGGGGATTTTGAGGAAATCTTGGTGTGATTTTTGGTTTCCCATTTTCGGGATTTTTTTAAGAAAATTTTTTAGAGGAGGGGGTTTAAAAAACTCTTTAAATCCTCATTATTTTTATTTTTTTCCTTTCTAGGACCACACCCCCCCCTCCCATGGGGCTCCCCCTCCTCATCCTCACTTTGGGGGTGCTGCTGGGGCTGGGGGAGGGGCACCGGGACCCCCCCCCAATTTCGGGGCACCCCCACCCCCACCTCTATGGACCCCCCAAAACCAAAACCCGCCCGGACACCGCCCAGGTGTGGCTGCAGGTGAGAGACCCCCAAAAAACACCCCAAAAACACCCCAAAAACACCCAAAATTATCCCCCAAAACAGCCTAAAACACACCCTAAAAACGGACCTGAATATTCCCAAATCATCCCCAAAAAATGTCATTAAATTGCTTAAAAATGTCACAAAATATGCTGGAGTTTTTCGCTAAAATGTCTTAAGATTCACCCTCAAAATGGCTCAAAATGCCTTAAAATATTTGTCAAAAATAGGCAAATGTTGTTTGAAAATAGCTCCAAAATATACAAAAATTATTTCCCAAAAGTACCCAGAAATCCTCCCTAAAAATGCTCCAAAATGGCCTAAAAATGTCTTAAAATGCCCCAAAATCCCCCCAAAAATGCTCCAAATTAATCTAAATTTTTTTTCCAAAAAAGCCCCAAAATAGTTTGAAATTGCTGCCCAAAAAATGCTTCAAAATAGGCTAAAAATGCCCCAGAAAGTCCCAAAATAGCCTAAAAATACCCTAAAATCCCCACAAAAATGCCCCAAAATATCCTAAAGTTTCTCACTAAAACGTCCCAAAATTCCTACTCAAAAATGCTCTAAAATGGCCCAAAATGACTTAAAATATTCTCTAAAAATAGCCTAAATTGGCCCAAAATACACAAAAATTACCTCATAAAAATACCCCAAAATAATCACTAAAAATGCTCCAAAATGGCCTAAAAATGCCTCAAAATACCCTAAAATTCCTCCAAAAATGCTCCAAAATAATCTAAATTTTTTTTCCAAGAAAGCCCTGAAATAGTTTAAAATTGTTGCCCAAAAATGCTTCAAAATAGGCTAAAAATGCCCCAGAAAGTCCCAAAATAACCTAAAAATACCCAAAAAGAGCCTAAAATCCCCACAAAAACGCCCTAAAATTGCCTAAAAACGCTCCAAAATATCTTTAGTTTTTCATTAAAATGTCTTAAAATTCCTCCTCGAGAATTCTCTAAAATTGCCCAAAATGCTTCAAAATATTCTCCCAAAATAGCCTAAAATGGCCCAAAATACACAAAAATTACCGCATAAAAAACCCCAAAAATAATCCCTAAAAATGCTCCAAAATGGCCTAAAAATACCCCAAAATACCCTAAAATCCCCCCAAAAATGCTCCAAAATAATCTAAAATTTTCTCAAGAAAAAGCCTCAAAATAGTTTTAAATTGCTGCCCAAAAAATGCTTCAAAATAGGCTAAAAATGCCCCAGAAAGTCCCAAAATAGCCTAAAAATAGCCTAAAATCCCCACAAAAATGCCCCAAAATATCCTAAAGTTTCTCACTAAAACGTCCCAAAATTCCTACTCAAAAATGCTCTAAAATGGCCCAAAATGACTTAAAATATTCTCTAAAAATAGCCTAAATTGGCCCAAAATACACAAAAATTACCTCATAAAAATACCCAAAAATAATCCCTAAAAATGCTCCAAAATGGCCCAAAAATGCCTCAAAATACCCTAAAATCCCCCCAAAAATGCTCCAAAATAATCTAAAATTTTCTCAAGAAAAGCCTCAAAATAGTTTTAAGTTTCTGCCAAAAATGCTTCAAAACAGGCTAAAATGCCCCAGAAAGTCTCAAAATAGCCTAAAAATACCCCAAAATAGCCTAAAATCCCCACAAAAATGCCCCAAAATATCCTAAAGTTTCTCACTAAAATGTCCTAAAATTCCCTCTCAAAAATGCTCCAAAATGGCCCAAAATTACTTAAAATATTCTCTAGAAATAGCCTAAAATGGCCCAAAGTACACAAAAATTATCTTCTAAAAATACCCAAAAAATCTTCCCTAAAAAATGCTCCAAAATGGCCTAAAAATACCTCAAAATACCCTAAAATCTCCCCAAAAATGCTCCAAAATAATCTAAAATTTTCTCAAGAAAAAGCTTCAAAATAGTTTTAAATTGCTGCCCAAAAATGCTTCAAAATAGGCTAAAAATGCCTCAGAAAGTCCCAAAATAGCCTAAAATCCCCACAAAAACACCCTAAAATTGCCTAAAAACGCTCCAAAATATCCTTTAGTTTTTCATTACAATATCCTAAAATTTCTCCTCAAAAATGCTCCAAAATGGCTCAAAATGCCTTAAAATTCTCTTCAAAAATAGCTTAAAATGGCCCAAAATACACAAAAATTACCTCATAAAAATACCCAAAAATAATCCTTAAAAATGCTCCAAAATGGCCCAAAAATGCCCCAAAATAGCCTAAAATCCCCCCAAAAATGCTCCAAAACAATCTAAAATTTTCTCAAGAAAAAGCCTCAAAATAGTTTTAAATTGCTGCCCAAAAATGCTTCAAAATAGGCTGAAATGCCCCAGAAAATCCCAAAATAGCCTAAAAATACCCCAAAATAGCCTAAAATCCCCATAAAAATGCCCTAAAATTGCCTAAAAATGCTCCAAAATATCCTATGGTTTTTCATTAGAATGTCCTAAAATTTTCCTCAAAAATGCTCTAAAATGGCCCAAAATGCCTCAAAATATTCTCCAAAAATAGCCTAAAATGGCCCAAAATACATTAAAATTATTTTCTAAAACTATCCTAAAATCTTCCCTAAAAATGCTCCAAAATGGCCTAAAAATGCCTCAAAATACCCCAATAAATGCCTCAAAATACCCTAAAATTCCCCTAAAAATGCCCCAAAAATGCTCTAAATTTTTTTCCAAAAAAACCCAAAAATAGTTCAAAACCACTGCCTAAAATTTTCTTTTTTTTACCCCCAAACTCCCTTTTTATCTCCCAAATTCCATTTTTGTGCCCCCAAATCCCTTTCCAACCACCCCAAACAACATTTTCCCCTCCAAATTCCCATTTTTTCCCAAAATTCCCATTTTTCCCCTCCAAATCCCAATTTTTTCCCCTTCAAATTCCCATTTTTTCTCCTCCAAATTCCCATTTTTTCCCAAAATTCCCATTTTTTCCCCTCCAAATCCCCATTTTCCCCTCCAAATTCCCATTTTTTTCCCAAATTCCCATTTTTTCCCCTCCAAATCCCAATTTTTTCCCCTCCAAATTCCCATTTTTTCTCCTCCAAATTCCCATTTTTTCCCAAAATTCCCATTTTTTCCCCTCCAAATCCCCATTTTTTCTCCTCCAAATTCCCATTTTTTCCCAAAATTCCCATTTTTCCCCTCCAAATTCCCATTTTTTCTCCTCCAAATTCCCATTTTTTCCCAAAATTCCCATTTTTTCCCCAAATCCCCATTTTCCCCTCCAAATTCCCTTTTTTTCCCCAAATTCCCATTTTTTTCCCTCCAAATTCCCATTTTTCCCTTTCAAACCCCAACATCCCCCCAAAAATCCCCATTTTAACCCCCCAAATCCCCATTTTTCAACTGAAATTCTCATTCTTTCACCCCAAAACTCTCTTTTTTTTCCCCAAATCCCCTTTTTTTCCCCCAAATTCCCTTTTTGTACCCGAAATCTCTCCCGAGCCCCCCCAAACCCCACTTTAAGCCCTTCAACCCCAATTTCCCCTCACCAAATCCCCATTTTTTCCCCCAAAATCCCCATTTTTTCACCCCAAAATCCTCATTTTCCCCCCAAAATCCTCATTTTTCCCCCCAAATCCTCATTTTTTTCCCCCCAAAATCCTCATTTTTCCCCCCAAAATCCTCATTTCCCCCCCCCAAAATCCTCATTTTTTCCCCCCCAAAATCCCCATTTTTTCACCCCAAAATCCTCATTTTCCCCCCAAAATTCTCATTTTTCCCCCCCAAATTCTCATTTTTCCCCCCCAAAATCCTCATTTCCCCCCCCAAAATCCTCATTTTTTCCCTCCAAATCCACATTTTCCCCCCTAAAATCCCCATTTTCCCCCCAAAATCCTCATTTTTTTTCACCCCAAAAATCCTCATTTTTTCCCCCCCAAATTCTCACTTTTCTCAAAAAAATTCTCATTTTCCCTCCCAAATTCTCATTTTTCCCCCCCAAAATCCTCATTTTTCCCCCAAAATCCTCATTTTTTCCCCCCAAAATTCTCATTTTTTCAACCCCGAAATCCTCATTTTTTCCCCCCAAAATTCTCATTTTTTCCCCCCAAAATTCTCATTTTTTCCCCCCAAAATTCTCATTTTTTCCTCCCAAAATTCTCATTTTTTTCACCCCAAAATTCTCATTTTTCCTCCCCAAAATCCTCATTTTTTCCCCCCAAAATTCTCGTTTTCCCCCCCCAAAAATCCTCATTTCCCCCCCCAAATTCTCATTTTTCCCCCCCAAAATCCTCATTTTCCCCCCCAAATTCTCATTTTTCCCCCCCAAATTCCTCATTTCCCCCCCAAATTCTCATTTCCCCCCCCAAAATCCTCATTTTTTCCCCCCCAAATTCTCACTTTTTCCCCCCAAAATTCTCATTTTTCCCCCCCAAAATCCCCATTTCCCTCCCCCAAAATCCTCATTTTCCCCCCCAAATTCTCATTTTTCCACCTAAATCCTCATTTTTTTCACTCCAAAATCCTCATTTTTCCCCCCCAAAATTCTCATTTTTTCACCCCAAAATTCTCATTTTTTCACCCCAAAATTCTCATTTTTTCACCCAAAATCCTCATTTTTTCCCCCCAAATTCTCATTTTTCCCCCCCAAAATTCTCATTTTTTTCACCCCAAATTCTCATTTTTTCACCCCCAAACCCCCATTTTTTTCCCCAAACCCCCATTTTTCCCCCCAAAATCCTCATTTTTCCCCCCCAAAATCCTCTTTTTTTTTAACCCCTAAATCCTCATTTTCCCCCCCAAAATTCTCATTTTCCCCCCCAAAATCCTCATTTCCCTCCCCCAAAATCCTCATTTCCCCGCCCAAAATTCTCATTTTTTCCCCCTAAATCCTCTTTTTTTTTCACCCCAAAATTCTCATTTTTTCACCCAAAATCCTCATTTTTCCCCCTAAATCCTCATTTTTTTCACCCCAAAATTCTCATATTTTCACCCCAAAAATTCTCATTTTTTTCACCCCAAAATCCTAATTTTTCCCCCCAAATTCTCATTTTTTCCTCCCAAATTCTCATTTTTTCACCCCCAAACCCCCATTTTTTTTCCCCAAATCTCTGTTTTTTCACCCAAAATCCCTCTGGGATCCCCCAAATCCGCTTTGAGCCCCCCAAAATCCCCATTTTAACCCCTTAAACCCCATTTTACCCCCCCAAATCCCCATTTTTTCACCCCAAATCCCCATTTTTTTCCCCAAACCCCCATTTTTTCACCCCCAAACCCCCATTTTTTCCCCAAATCCCCATTTTTTCACCCCAAACCCCCATTTTTTCCCCAAATCCCCATTTTTTCACCCCAAATCCCCATTTTTTCCCCAAATCCCAATTTAACCCCCCAAATCCCCATTTTTTTCCCCAAATCCCCATTTTTTTCCCCCAAATCCCCTTTTTTTCACCCCAAATCCCCGTTTTTTTCCCCAAATCCCCATTTTAACCCCTTAAACGCCATTTTACCCCCCCAAATCCCCATTTTAACTCCCCAAATCTTCGTTTTTTCTCCCAAAATCCCCATTTTTTCACCCCAAATCCCCGTTTTCTCACCCCAAATCCCCTTTTTGTACCCCCAAAACCCCCCTGGGATCCCCCAAACCCCCATTTTAACCCCCCAAACCCCCATTTTAACCCCTTAAACGCCATTTTAACCCCCCAAACCCCCATTTTAACCCCTTTAACCCCATTTTAACCCCCCAAATCTTCGTTTTTTCTCCCAAAATACCCGTTTTTTTTCCAAAATACCCATTTTTTTCCCCAAATCCCCATTTTAACCCCCCAAATCCCCATTTTTTTTCCCCAAATCCCCATTTTTTTCCCCAAACCCCCATTTTTTCCCCAAATCCCCATTTTTTTCAGCCCCAAACCCCCATTTTTTTTCCCCAAATCCCCATTTTAACCCCTTAAACCCCATTTTACCCCCTCAAATCCCCATTTTTTTCCCCAAATCCCCGTTTTTTCACCCCAAATCCCCATTTTAACCCCCCAAAATCCCCATTTTAACCCCTTAAACCCCATTTTCATCCCCCAAATCCCCATTTTAAACCCCCAAATCTTCGTTTTTTCACCCCAAATTCCCGTTTTTTCCCCAAAATCCCCATTTTTTCCCCCAAAATCCCCATTTTCCCCCCCAGACGATGGGGGCAGCCCTGGGGGTGTCGCTGGCCCCACACCTGGTGCTGCTCCTGGTCCCCGCGGATTCGGGGTCCCCCCGAACCCCCAAATCCCCCCTGGGACCCCCAAATCCCCTCTGGGACCCCCAAATCCCCCCTGGGACCCCCAAATTCCCCCTGGGACCCCCAAATTCCCCCCTGGGACCCCCAAATCCCCTCTGGGACCCCCAAATCCCCCCTGGGATCCCCCAAATCCTGTCTGGGACCCCCAAATCTGCTTTTAACCCCCCAAAATCCCCATGTTAACCCCTTAAACCCCATTTTACCCCCCCAAATCCCCATTTTAACCCCCCAAATCTTCGTTTTTTCTCCCAAAATCCCCGTTTTTTTTCCCCAAATCCCCGTTTTTTCACCCAAAATCCCTCTGGGACCCCCCAAATCCCCTTTGAGCCCCCCAAAATCCCCATTTTAACCCCTTAAACCCCATTTTAACCCCCTGAACCCCCATTTTTTCACCCCAAATCCCCATTTTTTTCCCCAAAATCCCCATTTTAACCCCCCAAATCCCATTTTACCCCCCCAAATCCCCATTTTAACCCCTTAAATGCCATTTTAACCCCCCAAATCCCCATTTTAACCCCTTAAACCCCATTTTAACCCCCCAAATCCCCATTTTAACCCCCCAAATCTTCGTTTTTTCTCCCCAAATCCCCATTTTTTCACCCCAAATCCCCATTTTTTCACCCCAAATCCCCATTTTTTCACCCCCAAACCCCCATTTTTTCACCCCAAACCCCCATTTTAACCCCTTAAACCCCATTTTAACCCCCCAAATCCCCATTTTTTCCCCAAATCCCCATTTTTTTCCCCAAACCCCCATTTTTTCCCCAAATCCCCGTTTTTTCTCCCCAAATCCCCATTTTTTCCCCCAAATACCCATTTTTTTCCCCAAATCCCCTTTTTCTCTCCCCAAATCCCCATTTTTTCTCCCAAAATTCCCATTTTTTCCCCCCAAATTCCCATTTTTTCACCCCCAAACCCCCATTTTAACCCCCCAAATCCCCATTTTTTTCCCCAAATACCCATTTTTTCCCCAAACCCCCATTTTTTTCCCAAAATCCCCGTTTTTTCACCCCCAAATCCCCATTTTTTCCCCAAACCCCCATTTTTTTCCCCAAATCCCCATTTTAACCCCCTAAATCCCCATTTTTTTCCCCAAATCCCCATTTTTTCCCCCAAATCCCCATTTTTTCCCCAAATCCCCATTTTTCACCCCAAATCCCCATTTTTCACCCCAAATCCCCATTTTTAAACCCCCAAATCCCCATTTTTTCACCCCAAATCCCCATTTTTTTCCCCAAACCCCCATTTTTTCACCCCAAATCCCCATTTTTTCACCCCAAATTCCCATTTTTTCACCCCAAATCCCCATTTTTTTCCCCAAACCCCCATTTTTTCGCCCCAAATCCCCATTTTTTTCCCCAAATCCCCATTTTTCACCCCAAATCCCCATTTTAACCCCTTAAACCCCATTTTAACCCCCCAGATCTTCGTTTTTTCTCCCAAAATCCCCGTTTTTTTTTCCCCAAATCCCGATTTTAACCCCTTAAACCCCATTTTAACCCCTTAAACCCCATTTTAACCCCTTAAACCCCATTTTAACCCCCCAAATCCCCATTTTAACCCCTTAAATGCCATTTTAACCCCCCAAATCTTCGTTTTTTTCCCCAAATCCCCGTTTTTTCACCCCCAAATCCCCATTTTTTTCCCCAAATCCCCGTTTTCTCACCCCAAATCTCCTTTTTGTACCCCCAAAACCGCCCTGGGATCCCCCAAACCCCCATTTTAACCCCTTAAACCCCATTTTAACCCCCAAAAATCCCCATTTTAACCCCTTAAACCCCATTTTAACCCCCCAAAATCCCCATTTTACCCCCTTAAATCCCCATTTTAACCCCCCAGATCTTCGTTTTTTCTCCCAAAATCCCCGTTTTTTCCCCCAAAATTCCCATTTTTCCCCCCAGACGATGGGGGCAGCCCTGGGGGTGTCTCTGGCCCCACACCTGGTGCTGCTCCTGGTCCCCGCGGATTCGGGGTCCCCCCGAACCCCCAAATCCCCCCTGGGACCCCCCAAATCCCCTCTGGGACCCCCAAATCCTGTCTGGGACCCCCAAATCCTGTCTGGGACCCCCAAATCCCCTCTGGGACCCCCAAATCCCCCCTGGGACCCCCAAATCCCCTCTGGGACCCCCAAAATCCCCTCTGGGACCCCCAAATCCCCTCTGGGACCCCCAAATCCTGTCTGGGACCCCCAAATCCCCCCTGGGACCCCCAAATCCTGTCTGGGACCCCCAAATCCTGTCTGGGACCCCCAAATCCCCTCTGGGACCCCCAAATCCTGTCTGGGACCCCCCATAGCCCCCCAAAATCCCCATTTTAACCCCTTAAACCCCATTTTACCCCGCCCAAATCCCCGTTTTTTTCCCCAAATCCCCATTTTTTCACCCCCAAACCCCCATTTTAACCCCCGAAATCCCCATTTTTTCACCCCAAATCGCCATTTTTTTCCCCAAATCCCCATTTTTTCCCCAAACCCCCATTTTTTCACCCCCAAACCCCCATTTTTTCCCGAAAATCCCCATTTTTTCTCCCAAATCCCCATTTTTATCCCCAAACCCCCGTTTTTTATCCCCAAACCCCCGTTTTTTTTTCCCCAAATCCCCATTTTTTCACCCCAAATCCCCATTTTAACCCCCCAAATCTTTGTTTTTTCTCCCAAAATCCCCATTTTTTCACCCCAAATCCCCGTTTTTTTTTTCCCCAAATCCCCATTTTTTCCCCAAACCCCCATTTCTTCACCCCAAATCCCCATTTTAACCCCCCAAACCCCCATTTTTTTCCCAAATCCCCATTTTTCTCCCCAAACCCCCATTTTTTCACCCCAAATCCCCATTTTTTTCCCCAAAATCCCCATTTTAACCCCTTAAACCCCATTTTAACCCCCCAAATCCCCATTTTAACCCCCAAATCCCCATTTTTCCCCCCAAAATCCCCATTTTCCCCCCCAGACGATGGGGGCAGCCCTGGGGGTGTCGCTGGCCCCACACCTGGTGCTGCTCCTGGTCCCCGCGGATTCGGGGTCCCCCGAACCCCCAAATCCCCTCTGGGACCCCCCAAATCCCCTCTGGGACCCCCAAATCCCCCCTGGGACCCCCAAATCCTGTCTGGGACCCCCAAATCCCCCCTGGGACCCCCAAATCCCCTCTGGGACCCCCCAAATCCCCCTCTGGGACCCCCAAATCCCCCCTGGGACCCCCAAATCCTGTCTGGGACCCCCAAATCCCCCCTGGGACCCCCAAATCCCCTCTGGGACCCCCCATAGCCCCCCAAAATCCCTCTGGGACCCCCTAAATCCCCTTTGAGCTCCCCAAATCCCCCCTGGGACTCCCCAAATCCGCTTTGAGCCCCCCAAAATCCCCATTTTAACCCCTTAAACTCCATTTTAAGCCCCCAAATCCCCATTTTAACCCCCAAACCCCATTTTAAGCCCCCAAATCCCCGTTTTAACCCCTTAAACCCCATTTTAACCCCCCAAATCCCCATTTTAACCCCTTAAACCCCATTTTAACCCCCCAAATCCCCATTTTAACCCCCCAAATCTCCATTTTCTTCCCCAAATCCCCATTTTAACCCCCAAAAATCCCCATTTTAACCCCTTAAACGCCATTTTAACCCCCCAAAACCCCATTTTAACCCCTTAAACCCCATTTTAACCCCCCAAATCTTCGTTTTTTCTCCCAAAATCCCCAGGTTTTTTTCCCCAAACCCCCGTTTTTTTCCCCAAATCCCCATTTTTTTCCCCAAAATTCTCTTTTTTCCCCCCCAGACGATGGGGGCCGCCCTGGGGGTGTCGCTGGCCCCACACCTGGTGCTGCTCCTGGTCCCCGCGGATTCGGGGTCCCCCCGGCGTCGGGGGCTGCTGCGGCTGCTGCTGAGCTTCGCTGCCGGGGGGCTGCTGGGGGACGCCTTCCTGCACCTCATCCCCCACGCCCTGGGTGGGTGACATTCGGGGGACGGTTTTGGGGGGATTTTGGGGCATTTTGGGGCGATTTTGGGGTGATTTTGGGGCAGTTTGGGGTGATTTTGGGGCAGTTTGGGGCAGTTATAGGGTGGTTTTAGGGTGGTTTTAGGGGAGTTCAGGGGCATTTTTGGGGATGCTGGCACACTTTGGGGTGATTTTGGGGCACTTTGGGGTGATTTTATGGCAGTTTGGGGTGATTTTGGGATAATTTGGGGCACTTTGGGGTGATTTTGGGGCAATTTTAGGGTGGTTTGGGGCGGTTTTGAGGTGCTTTTAAGGTGGTTTTGAGGGGGATTTGGGGTGGTTTTAGGGGGTTTAGGGGCATTTTTGGGGATACTGGGACAGTTTGGGGTGATTTTGGGGCGGTTTGGGGTGATTTTGGGACAGTTTGGGGTTATTTTGGGGCAGTTTGAGGGTGGTTTGGGGTGGTTTCAGTGTGGTTTTAGGGGGGTTTGGCGTGATTTTGGGGGGGTTTGGGGTCATTTTAGGGGGGTTTAGGGGCATTTTTGGGGACACTGGCACACTTTGCGGTGATTTTGGGGCATTTTGGGTGATTTTTGGACCATTTGGGACGGTTTTGGGGCAGTTTCGAGGTGGATTTGAGGGGGATTTGGGGTGGTTTTGAGGGGCTTTGGGGTGGTTTTAGGGGGGTTTAGGGGCATTTTGGGGACACTGGGACAGTTTGGGGTGATTTTGGGATAATTTGGGGCGATTTTGGGACAGTTTGGGGCGATTTTGGGGCAGTTTGGGGTGATTTTGGGGCAATTTTAGGGTGGTTTGGGGCGGTTTCAGTGTGGTTTTAGGGGGGTTTGGGGGGATTCAGGGTGCTTTTGGGACACTGAGACACTTTGGGGACAATTTTGGGGCAGTTTGGGGTGATTTTGGGATAATTTGGGGCGATTATGGGATAATTTGGGGTGACTTTGGGACAGTTTTAGGGTGGTTTGGGGTGGTTTTGGGGGGGTTTGGGGGCATTTTTGGGGACACTGGGACACTTTGGGGTGATTTTGGGGCCGTTTGGGGAGATTTTGGGACACTTTGGGGTGATTTTGGGTGATTTTTGGACCATTTGGGACGGGTTTGGGGCGGTTTCGAGGTGGTTTTAAGGTGGTTTTGAGGGGGATTTGGGGTGGTTTTAGGGGAGTTTAGGGGCATTTTTGGGGACACTGGGACAGTTTGGTGTGATTTTGGGGCAGTTTGGGGTGATTTTGGGACAGTTTGGGGTGATTTTGGGATGCTTTGGGGTGATTTTGGGTGATTTTTTGGACCTTTTGGGGTGGTTTAGAGGTGGTTTTAGGGGGGTTTGGGGTGGTTTTGGGGGGGTTTGGGGGGATTCAGGGTGGTTTTGGGACACTTTAGGGACACTGGGACACCTCAGGGACACTTTGGGGACGATTTTGGGGCGGTTTGGGGTGATTTTGGGACAGTTTGGGGTGATTTTGGGGCAGTTTTAGGGTGGTTTGGGGCGGTTTGGGGCAGTTTCTGTGTGGTTTTAGGGGGGTTTGGGGGGATTCAGGGTGGTTTTGGGACACTGGGACACCTTGGGGACACTTTGGGGCAGTTTGGGATGATTTTGGGATAATTTGGGGTGATTTTATGGCAGTTTGCGGTGATTTTGGGGCAGTTCGGGTCAGTTTAGGGGTGGTTCTGAGGTGCTTTTGAGGTAGTTTTAGGGGCTTTGGGGTGGTTTTAGGGGGCTTTAGGGGCATTTTGGGGACACTGAGACACCTTGGGGACACTTTGGGGACAATTTTGGGGCCGTTTGGGGCGATTTTGGGACAGTTTGGGGTGATTTTGGGGCAGTTTGGGGCGATTTTGGGGCGATTTTGGGGCAGTTTGGGGCAGTTTCAAGGTGGTTTTAGGGTGGTTTGGGGTGATTTTGGGACACTTTGGGGCGATTTTGGGTGATTTTGGGGCAGTTTGGGGTGATTTTGGGGTGATTTTGGGACAGTTTGGTGCAGTTTCAAGGTGGTTTTAGGGTGGTTTGGGGTGGTTTTGAGGGGCTTTGGGGTCATTTTAGGGGGACGCCTTCCTGCACCTCATCCCCCACGCCCTGGGTGGGTCACACCTGGGGACGGTTTTGGGGCAGTTTGGGGCGATTTTGGGACACTTTGGGGTGATTTTGGGTGATTTTTGGACCATTTGGGACGGTTTTGGGGCAGTTTCGAGGTGGATTTGAGGGGGTTTGGAGTGGTTTTAGGGGGATTTTGGGGACACTGGGACACCTTGCAGACGGTTTTGGGACCTTTTGGGGTGATTTTGGGGCAGTTTGGGGTGATTTTGGGACAGTTTGGGGTGATTTTGGGTGATTTTTGGACCATTTGGGACAGTTTTGGAGCAGTTTTAGGGTGGTTTGGGGCGGTTTCAATGTGGTTTTAGGGGGGTTTGGGGTGGTTGTGGGGGGGTTTGGGTGGAATCAGGGTGGTTTGGGGACACTGGGACACTCGGGGGACGGTTTTGGGGCCGTTTGGGGTGATTTTGGGACACTTTGGGGTGGTTTTGGGGCAGTTTGGGACAATTTGGGGACAATTTGGGACAGTTTTTGCCCCCACAGCTCCCCACGATCACCACGAGGGCCACGGCCACTCCCACCACGGGCACGGTGAGAGCCTGGGGACACCTGGGGACACTTGGGGACACTTTGGGGACATTTGGGGACATTTGGGGACATTTTGGGGACACTTGATGTCATTTTGGGGTCATTTGGGGACACTTTTGGGTCACTTGATGTCATTTTTGGGTCATTTTGGGACATTTTTGGGTCCATTTGGGGACACTTTTGGGTCACTTGATGTCATTTTTGGGTCATTTTGGGACATTTTGGGGGGTTTGGGGTGGTTTTAGGGGCTTTAGGGACACTTTGGGGACACTGGGACACCTTGGGGACACTTTGGGGTGATTTGGGGACACTTTGGGGTCATTTTTGGGGGATTTGGGCTGATTTTGGTGGGATTTGGGGTGGTTTTAAGGGGTTTGGGACATTTTGGGGACACTGGGACACCTTGGAGCCGATTTTGGGGCAGTTTGGGACAATTTGGGGACAATTTTGGGACAGTTTTTGCCCCCACAGCTCCCCACGATCACCACGAGGGCCACGGCCACTCCCACCACGGGCACGGTGAGAGCCTGGGGACACCTGGGGACACTTTGGGGACATTTTGGGGACATTTTGGGGACACTTGATGGCATTTTTGGGTCATTTTGGGACATTTTTGGGGGGTTTGGGGTGGTTTTAGGGGCTTTAGGGACATTTTGGGGTCACCTTGGGACATTTTGGGACAATTTGGGGACATTTTGGGGACACTTGATGGCATTTTGGGGTCATTTTGGGACATTTTTGGGTCATTTGGGGACATTTTTGGGTCATTTTGGGACATTTTTGGGGTGGTTTTAGGGGCTTTAGGGACATTTTGGGGACACTTGGGGACACTTTGGGGACACTTTGGGGACATTTGGGGACACTTTGGTGTTATTTTGTGACATTTTTGGTGCATTTGTGGACAATTTTGGGTTATTTGGGGGCAGTTTTGGGTCATTTGGGGACATTTTTGGGTCATTTTGGGACATTTTGGGGGGGCTTTGGGGTGGTTTTAGGGGCTTTAGGGACACTTTGGGGACACTGGGACACCTTGGGGACACTTTGGGGTCATTTTGGGACACTTTGGGGTTATTTTGGGGAGATTTGGGCTGATTTTGGTGGGATTTGGGGTGGTTTTAGGGGCTTTAGGGACATTTTGGGGACACTGGGACACCTTGGGGACGATTTTGGGGCTATTTGGGACAATTTGGGGACAATTTTGGGACAATTTTTGTCCCTGCAGGTCACCACGATCACCACGAGGGCCACGGCCACTCCCACCACGGGCACGGTGAGAGCCTGGGGACACCTGGGGACACTTTGGGGACACTTGGGGACACTTGGGGACATTTGGGGACATTTGGGGACATTTTGGTGCCATTTTTGGCCATTTTGGGGCTGTTTGGTGCCATTTTGGTGCATTTTGATCAATTTTTTTGCAATTTTGGACCATTTTTGGCCATTTTGGGGCTGTTTGGTGCCATTTTGGGACATTTGGAGCCTTTTTGATCATTTTGGGGCCATTTCTGTCCATTTTAAGCCCGTTTTTCCCGTTTTTGGTGCCATTTTTGCCATTTCGATGCGAATTTAGGGACATTTTGAACCATTTTGGTGCCATTTCTGCCTATTTTGGTGCCATTTTTTGCCTATTTGGGCCTTTTTGGTGCCATTTTGGGCCATTTTGATGCCATTTCTGCCACTTTGGTGCAATTTCTGTCCATTTTGGGTCTTTTTGCTGCCATTTTTGCCCATTTTGGTCTCTTTTGCTGCCATTTTTGCCCATTTTGGTCTCTTTTGGTGCCATTTTTGCCCATTTTGAGCCATTTTTTGCCATTTCTGTCCATTTTGGTGCCATTTTTGCCTATTTTTTTCCATTTTTTGCCACTTTGTTCCCATTTCTGTCAATTTTGGGCCCATTTGGTGCCATTTTTGCCCATTTTGAGCCACTTTGATGCCATTTTTGTCCATTTTGGTGACATTTAATGCCTTTTCTTTCCCATTTTTGCCATTTTTTCTATTTTGATGCCATTTTTGGCCATTTTTTGCAGATTTGGTGCCCATCTGGTGCCATTTTAATTCAATTTCTGTCCATTTTGGTGCCATTTTTGCCCATTTTTTTCCATTTTTTTGCCACTTTGTTCCCATTTCTGTCAACTTTGGGCCCATTTGGTGCCATTTTTGCCCATTTTTTGCCATTTTGATGCCATTTTTGACCATTTTGGTGACATTTAATGCCATTTCTGTCCCATTTTTTGGCATTTTTTCCATTTTGATGCCATTTTTGGCCATTTTTGCCATTTTGTTGTCATTTCTGTCAATTTTTTGCCATTTCTGTCCATGTTGGTGCCATTTTGGTGCCATTTTTGCCCATTTTGATGCCATTTTTTGCCCATTTTTTGCCATTTTGGTGCATTTTTTGCCCATTTTTTGCCATTTTGGTGCCATTTCTGTCAATTTTTTGCCATTTCTGTCCATTTTGGTGCCATTTTGGTGCCATTTTGGTGCCATTTTTGCCCATTTCGATGCCATTTTTTGCCCATTTTTTGCCATTCTGATGCCATTTCTTTCCCTTTTGGTGCCATTTTCGTCCATTTTTTGCCATTTTTTTGCCATTTCTGTCAATTTTTTGCCATTTCTGTCCATTTTGGTGCCATTTCTGGTCATTTTGTTGCCATTTTTTGGCATTTTTGGCCATTTTGTTGCCATTTCTGTCAATTTTTTGCCATATTTTTCCATTTAGTTGCCATTTCTGTCCATTTTGGTGCCATTTTTGCCCATTTTGATGCCATTTTTGTCCATTTTTTGACATTTTTTGCCATTTTGGTGCCATTTCTGTCAATTTTTTGCCATTTCTGTCCATGTTGGTTCCATTTTGGTGCCATTTTTGCCCATTTTTTACCATTTTTTGCCGCTTTGGTGCCACTTCTGTCAATTTGGTGCCGGTTTTGCCCATTTTTGTCCATTTTGGTGCCATTTAATGCCATTTCTGTCCCATTTTTTCAATTTTTTTCCATTTTGATGCCATTTTTGGCCATTTTTTGCAGATTTGGTGCCCATCTGGTGCCATTTTAATTCCATTTCTGCCCATTTTGGTGCCATTTTTGCCCATCTTGAGTAATTTTTTGCCATTTCTGTTCCTTTTGGTGCCATTTCTGTCTGTTTTGGTGCCATTTTCATATCTTTTTGGCATTTTTTGCCATTTTGTTGCCATTTCTGTCAATTTTTTGCCATTTCTGTCCATGTTGGTGCCATTTTGGTGCCGTTTCTGTCCATTTTGGTGCCAATTCTCTCCATTTTGGTGCCATTTCTGCCCATTTTGATGCCATTTTTTGCCCGTTTTTTGCCATTTTTTGCCGATTCGGTGCCATTTTGTGCCATTTTTTCCCATTTTGTGTAATTTTTTGCCATTTCTGTTCATTTTGGTGCCATTTTTGCCGATTTTATGCCATTTTTTGCCCGTTTTTTACCGATTCTGTGCCATTTTATGCCATTTTTTGCCCGTTTTTTACCAATTCTATACCATTTTATGCCATTTTTCCCGTTTTTTGGCGTTTTTTACCGATTCTGTGCTATTTTATGCCATTTTATGCAATTTTATGCCATTTTTTGCCCATTTTTTACTGATTTTTCACCATTTTTTGCCCATTTTTTGCCGTTTTTTACCGATTCTGTGCCACTTTATGCCATTTTTTTCCTTTTTTTTTTCCCGTTTTTTACCGATTCTTTGCCATTTTATGCCATTTTTGCCCATTTTGATGCCATTTTTTACCCATTTTTTGCCATTTTTTACCGATTCTGTGCCATTTTATGCCATTTTCCCCGTTTTTCCCGATTCTCCCCGTTTTTGCCCCGTTTCTCCCGGCAGCTGCGGCGCTCTGGGTGGGGCTGTGGGTCCTGGCCGGGATCGTGGCGTTCCTGACCGTGGAGCTGCTGGTGCGGCACGGCGGCGCCCACGGACACGGCCACGGTCAGTTTGGGGCGAAAAACCGGGATTTTGGGCAAAAACGGGGAAAAACGGGGATTTGGGGGGAAAAACGGGCAAAAAAATGGGGAAAAACGGGGATTTTGGGGGGAAAAACGGGCAAAAAAATGGGGTTCTGGTGCGGCACTGCGGCGGCCACGGCCACGGCCACGGTCAGTTTGGGGTGAAAAACAGGGATTTTGGGCAAAAATGGGAAAAAACGGGGAAAAACGGGGATTGGGGAAGGAAAATTGGGGATTTTGGGCAAAAAAATGGGGATTTGGGGGGAAAAACGGGAGGAAAATGGGGTTCTGGTGCGGCACGGCGGCGCCCACGGCCACGGCCACGGTCAGTTTGGGGCGAAAAAACGGGAATTTGGGCAAAAATGGGAAAAAACGGGGAAAAACGGGGATTTGGGGGGAAAAACGGGAGGAAAATGGGGAAAAATGGGGATTTTGGGGGGAAAAACGGGAGGAAAATGGGGTTCTGGTGCGGCACGGTGGCGGCCACGGCCACGGTCAGTTCGGGGTGAAAAACCGGGAATTTGGGCAAAAATGGGAAAAAACGGGGATTTGGGGGGAAAAACGGGCAAAAAAGGGGGTTTGGGGAGGGAAAAATGCGGATTTTTGGGGGGAAAATGGGAAAAAATGGAGTTTGGGGAGGGGAAAATGGGGATTTGGGGGGGAGAAAATGGGAAAAAAGGGGGTTGGGGAGGGAAAAATGGGGATTTTTGGGGTAAAATCAGGGAAAAAAGGGGTTTTCAGGGGAGAAATTGGGATTTGGGGCAAAAAACGGGGATTTGGGGAGGGAAAATGGGGAATTTGGGGTAAAACGGGATAAAATGGGGGGTTTGGGCAAAAAGGGGCGAAAAAAGGGGATTTGGGGGGAGAAAATGGGGATTTTGGGCAAAAATGGGAAAAAAGGGGGATTTGGGGAGGGGAAAATGGGGATTTTGGGCAAAAAAATGGGGGTTTAGGGGGAAAAACTGGAGGGGAAAAATGGGGTTTGGGGAGGGGAAAAATGGGGATTTGGGGCAAAAAAACGGGAATTTGGGGAAAAATGGGGGAAAACAGGGATTTGGGGGGAAAAACAGGAAAAAAAAGGGGGTTGGGGAGGGAAAAATGGGGATTTTGGGCAAAAAAATGGGGAAAAACGGGAGGAAAATGGGGTTCTGGTGCGGCACTGCGGCGCCCACGGCCACGGTCACGGTCAGTTTGGGGTGAAAAACCGGGATTTTGGGCAAAAATGGGAAAAACGGGGATTTTGGGGGGAAAAACGGGAAAAAATGGGGAAAAACGGGGATTTTGGGGGGAAAAACGGGCAAAAAATGGGGTTTGGGGGGGGAAAAATGGGGATTTTTGGGGTAAAAACAGGGAAAAAATGGGGTTTTGGGAGGGAAAAATGGGGATTTTTCGGGGAAAAACAGGGAAAAAAGGGGGTCTGGGGGGAAAAATTGGGATTTTGGGAAAAAATGGGGGAAAAATGGGGTTTAGGGGGGGGAAATTGGGATTTTTGGGGTAAAAACAGGGAAAAAAGGGGGTTTGGGGGGGAAAATGGGGTTTGGGGAGGGAAAAATGGGGATTTTTGGGGTAAAAACAGGGAAAAAAGGGGGTTTGGGGGGGAAAATTGGGATTTGGGGGAAAAATAAGGGGAAAAGGGGTTTTCGGGGGAGAAATTGGGATTTTGGGCACAAAGGGGCAAAAAACGGGGATTTGGGGAGGGAAAAATGGGGATTTTTGGAGTAAAACGGGGAAAAGGATGGGGGTTTTGGGCAAAAATGGGGGAAAAACGGGGATTTGGGGTAAAAACGGAAAAAAGGGGGTTTGGGGGGGGAAATTGGGATTTTTGGGAAAAAAACGGGAGTTTGGGGGGAAAAACTGGAGGGGAAAAATGGGGTTTGAGGAGGGGAAAATGGGGATTTGGGGTAAAAAACCGGCAATTTGGGCAAAAACGGGGAAAAATGGGGATTTTGGGGGAAAAAAACGGGAGGAAAATGAGGTTTGGGGAGGGAAAAATGGGGATTTTGGGGGAAAAAATGGGGGTTTGGGGGGAGAAAATGGGGATTTTTGGGTAAAAATGGAAAAAAGGGGGTTTGGGGGAGAAAAATTGGGATTTTGGGGGTAAATGGGAAAAAATGGGGTTTGGGAAGGGAAAAATGGGGATTTGGGGGGGAGAAAATGGAAAAAAAGGGGGTTTGGGGGGGAAAAATTGGGATTTCGGGCAAAAAACCGGGAATTTGGGCAAAAATGGGCAAAAACGGGGATTTGGGGGGAAAAACAGGAAAAAATGGCGAAAAATGGGGATTTTGGGGAAAAACAGGGAAAAAGATGGGGATTTTGGGCAAAAATGGGGGGAAAACAGGTTTTCGGGGAAGAAATTGGGATTTGGGGCAAAAAGGGGCAAAAAATGGGGATTTGGGGAGGAAAAAATGGGGATTTTGGGCAAGAATGGGGTTCGGGAAGGGAAAAATGGGGATTTGGGGGGGAGAAAATGGAAAAAAAGGGGCTTGGGGAGGGAAAATGGGGATTTTTGGGGTAAAAACAGGGAAAAATGGGGTTTGGGGGGAAAAAATTGGGATTTTGGGCAAAAAAAATGGGGATTTGGGGGGAAAAACGGGAGGAAAATGGGGTTCTGGTGCGGCACGGCGGCGCCCACGGCCACGGCCACAGTCAGTTCGGGGCGAAAAACCGGGAATTTGGGCAAAAATGGGCAAAAACGGGGATTTGGGGGAAAAACGGGAGGAAAATGGGGTTTGGGGAGGGTAAAATGGGGATTTTGGGGGGAAAATGGGAAAAAAGGGGGTTTGGGGAGGGGAAAATGGGGATTTTTGGCATAGAAACAGGGAAAAAAGGGGGTTGGGGGGGGAAATTTTGGGATTTTGGGCAAAAATGGGGGGAAACTGGGGATTTGAGGGAAAAAACGGGAGGAAAAGGGGGTTTGGGGAGGGAAAAATGGGGATTTTGGGCAAAAAAATGGGGGTTTGGGGGGAAAAACTGGAGGGAAGAAATGGGGATTTTTGGGGTAAAAACAGGGAAAAAAGGGGATTGGGGAGGGAAAAATGGGGGATTTTGAGGAAAAATGGTGAAAAAATGGGATTTGGGGAGGGAAAAATGGAGATTTTAGGAGGAAAATGGGAAAAAAGGGGGTTTGGGGGGAGAAATTGGGATTTTGGGCAAAAATGGGCAAAAAATGGGGATTGGGGAGGGAAAAATGGGGATTTTGGGCAAAAAAATGGGGGTTTGGGGGAAAAACTGGAGGGGAAAAATGGGGTTTGGGGAGGGAAAAATGGGAATTTTGGGGAAAAAAGGGGGAAAAGATGGGGGTTTTGGGCAAAAAGAGGCGAAAAAAGGGGATTTGGGGGGAGAAAATGGGAATTTTGGGCCAAAATGGGCAAAAAATGGGGTTTGGGGAGGGAAAAATGGGGATTTTTGGGGGGAAAACGGGGAAAAAAGGGGGTTTGGGGGGCGGAAAATTGGGATTTGGGGGAAAAAGGGGCAAAAAATGGGGATTTGGGGGGAGAAAATGGGGATTTTGGGCAAAAATGGGTAAAAAATGGGGTTTTGGGGAGGGGAAATGGGGATTTTGGGGGAAATGGGGGAAAAAATGGGTGTTTTGGGCAAAAAGGGGCAAAAAAAGGGGATTTGGGGGGAGAAAATGGGGATTTTGGGCAAAAAGGGGCAAAAATGGGGTTTGGGGAGGGGAAAATGGGGATTTTGGGGGGAAAACGAGGAAAAAATGGGGGTTTGGGGCAAAAGGGGGCGAAAAAAGGGGATTTGGGGGGAGAAAATGGGGATTTTGGTCAAAAATGGGAAAAAATGGGGTTTGGGGAGGGAAAAATGGGGATTTTGGGGGGAAAAAGGGAAAAAAGGGGGGTTGGGGGGGGGAAAAATGGGGATTTTTGGGGTAAAAACAGGGAAAAAAGGGGGTTTGGGGGAGAAAAATTGGGATTTTGGGGAAAAATGGGCAAAAAATGGGTTTGGGGAGGGAAAAATGGGGATTTTTGGGGGAAAATGGGGGTTTGGGGGGGAAAACTAGAGGGGAAAAAATGGGGTTCGGGATGGGGAAAATGGGGATTTGGAGGGAGAAAATGGGAAAAATGGGGTTTGGGGAGGGAAAAATGGGGATTTTTGGGGTAAAAACAGGGAAAAAAGGGGGTTTGGAGGGGGAAAAATGGGGATTTGGGGGGGAAATGGGGATTTTGGGGGAATTTGGGGATTTAGGGTGGATTTGGGTGGATTTTGGGTTTTTTGAGGTGGATTAGGGGGATTTTGGGCTGGATTTGGGTGGATTTTGGGGTAAATTTGTGGAATTTTGGGCTGGGTTTGGGTGGATTTTGGTCTGGATTTCTGGGATTTTGGGCTGGATTTAGAGGATTTGGGGTTTTTTGGGGTGGATTTTTGGGATTTTGGGTGCATTTTTGGGTGGATTTTGGGCTGGATTTAGGTCAGTTTTGGGCTGGATTTCTGGGATTTTGGGCTGGATTTAGAGGATTTTGGGATTTTTGGGGTGAATATTTGGGATTTTGGTCTGGATCTGTGGGATTTTGGGGCAGATTTGTGGAATTTTGGGCTGCATTTCTGGGATTTTGGGCTGGATTTAGAGGATTTGGGTTTTTTTGGGGTGGATTTTTGGGATTTTGGGCTGGATTTTTGGGATTTTGGGATTTTGGGCTGGATTTCTGGGATTTTGGGCTGGATTTGGGTCAATTTTGGGCTGGATTTGTGGGATTTGGGTGGATTTTGGGCTGGATCTGTGGGATTTTGGGGTAAATTTGTCTCATTTTGGGCTGCATTTCTGGGATTTTGGGCTGCATTTCTGGGATTTTGGGCTGGATTTAGAGGATTTGGGGTTTTTTGGGCTGGATTTCTGGGATTTTGGGCAGGATTAGTGGGATTTTGGGATGGGTTTAGTGGATTTTGGGTTTTTTGGGCTGGATTTTTGGGATTTTGGCTTTTTTGGGGTGGATTTTTGTGATTTTTGGTGGATTTTTGGGTTGATTTTGTCACTTTTCGTCTCTCAGCCCCCAAATCCAAGCACAGCTCCAGCGAGGACGAGGCCGACGGCGACGCCCGGGACACCAAAGGGACCAGGGGGACAAAAGCCACCGGGGCCACCAAGGACACCAAGGACACCAAGGACACCAAGGACACCAAGGACACCAAGGACACCAAAGCCACCGGGGCCACCAAGGCCAAGCGCGGGAGGAGCCACCACGGGGACAGGGCAGGTCCGGGACACCTTTTGGGGACATTTTGGGGGGATTTGGGACATTTGGGGACATTTGGGGGGATTTGGGGACATTGGGGACATTGGGGACATTGGGGACATTTGGGACATTTGGGGGGATTTGGGGGATTTGGGACATTTGGGGCATTGGGGACATTTGGGACATTTGGGGACATTTGGGACATTGAGGGGATTTGGGGGATTTGGGGACATTGGGGACATTTGGGGACATTTGGGGGGTTTGGGGATTTTGGGGGTATTTGGGGAATTTGGGGGGTTTGGGGACATTGGGGACGTTGAGGGGATTTGGGACATTTGGGGACATTTGGGGGATTTGGGGACATTTGGGGAATTTGGGACATTTGGGGGATTTGGGGACATTTGGGGAATTTGGGACATTGAGGGGATTTGGGATATTTGGGGACATTTGGGGGATTTGGGGACATTTTGGGGGATTTGGGATATTTTGGGGGTTTGGGGACATTTGGGGGATTTTGGGACGTTTGGGGGATTTGGGGGATTTGGGGACATTTGGGGAATTTGGGGACATTTGGGGACATTGAGGGGATTTGGGACATTTGGGGGATTTGGGACATTTGGGGACATTGGGGACATTTGGCAGATTGAGGGGGTTGGGGGCATTTGGGGGATTTGGGGACATTTGGGGACATTTTGGGGGATTTGGGACATTGGGACATGGAGGGGATTTGGGGACATTTGAGGGATTTGGGGACATTTGGGACATTTGGGGGATTTGGGACATTTGGGGACATTGGGGACATTTGGCAGATTGAGGGGGTTGGGGGCATTTGGGGGATTTGGGGACATTTGGGGACATTTTGGGGGATTTGGGACATTGGGGGATTTGGGTGATTGGGGACATTGGGGACATTTGGGGGATTTGGGGACATTTGGGGGGTTTGGGGATTTGGGGACATTGGGGACATTTAGAGGATTTGGGAGATTTGGGGACATTTGGGGGGTTTGGGACATTGAGGGGATTGGGGGACATTTGGGGGGTTTGGGGACATTGGGGACATTTGGGACATGGAGGGGATTTGGGACATTTGGGGGATTTGGGGACATTTGGGGACATTTTGGGGGATTTGGGACATTGGGACATGGAGGGGATTTGGGGACATTTGGGGGATTTGGGGACATTTGGGACATTGAGGGGATTTGGGGACATTTTGGGGATTTGGGGACATTGGGGACATTTGAGGGGATTTGGGACATTTGGGGGATTTGGGGACATTTGGGGATTTGGGACATTGAAGGAATTTGGGGACATTGGGGGATTTTGGAAAATTTGGGGACATTTGGGGATTTGGGACATTTCGGGTGTTTCAAAGGTGATTTTTGGGGTAACTTTAGACTGTTTTGGGGTGACTTTGGGCTGATTTTGTGCCGAATTTGAGAGCGATTTTTGGGATAATTTTAGGGTGACTTTGCGATAACTTCGGGATAATTTTGGGCAACTCCGGGGTAACTTTGGGCTGATTTTGGGGTAACTTCAGGGTGTTTTAGGGCTGATTTTGGGGATAACTTTGGGGTGACTTTGGGCTGATTTTGGGCTGATTTTGGGGTAACATCAGGGTGTTTTAGGGCTGATTTTGGGGTGACTTTGGGGATAACTTTGGGATGATTTTGGGGTAACTTCAGACTGTTTTAGGGCTGATTTTGGGGATAACTTTGGGGTGACTTTGGGCTGATTTTGGGCTGATTTTGGGGTAACATCAGGGTGTTTTAGGGCTGATTTTGGGGTGACTTAGGGCTGATTTTGGGGATAACTTTGGGGTGACTTTGGGCTGATTTTGGGCTGATTTTGGGGTAACTGCAGGGTGTTTTAGGGCTGCTTTTGGGGTGACTTTGGGCTATGATTTTGGGGTGATTTGGGGGATAACTTCGGGCTGATTTTGGGGTAACTTTAGACTGTTTTGGGGTGACTTTGGGCTGATTTTGGACCGAATTTAAATGTGATTTTTGGGATAATTTCAGGTTGACTTTGCGATAACTTCGGGATAATTTTGGGTAACTCTGGGACAGTTTTGGGCTGATTTTGGGGTAACTTCAGGATGTTTTAGGACTGATTTTGGGGTGACTTTGGGCTGATTTTGGGGTGATTTTGGGGTAACTTTAGACTCTTTTAGGACTGATTTTGGGATAACTTCGGGCTGATTTTAAGCTGACTTGGGGCCGAATTTAAGACCGATTTCAGAGATAATTTCAGGGTGACTTTGCGATAACTTCAGGATAATTTTGGCCAATTCTGGGACAAATTTTGGACTGATTTTAGGGTAACTTCAGGCTGTTTTAGGGCTGATTTTGGGTGACTTTGGGCTGATTTTGGGGATAACTTTGGGCTGATTTTGGGCTGATTTTGGGGTGATTTTGGGGTAACTTCAGGGTGTTTTAGGGCTGATTTTGGGGTGACTTTAGGCTATGATTTTGGGGTGATTTTGGGGATAACTTTGGGCTGATTTTGGGGTAACTTTAGGCTGTTTTAGGGCTGATTTTGGAATCATTTTGGGGCTGATTTTGGGGTAACATCAGACTGTTTTAGGGCTGATTTTGGGGATAACTTTGGGCTGATTTTGGGGTGATTTTGGGGTAACTTCAGGGTGTTTTAGGGCTGCTTTTGGGGTGACTTTGAGCTGATTTTGGGGTGATTTTGGGGATAATTTGAGTGTGATTTTGGACTGATTTTGGGGTGATTTTGGGGTAACTTTAGACTGTTTTAGGGCTGACTTGGGGTGACTTTAGGCTGATTTTGGGGTGACTTTGGGCTGATTTTGGGGTAACTTTAGACTGTTTTAGGGCTGATTTTGGGGTGACTTTGGGCTGATTTTGGGATCATTTTGGGCTGATTTTGGGGTAATTTTAGGCTATTTTAAGCTGACTTTGGGTGGAATTTGAGAGCAATTTTGGGGATAATTTCAGGATGACTTTGGGATAACTTCGGGATAATTTTGGGCTGATTTTGGGGTAACTTCAGGGTGTTTTAGGGCTGATTTTGGGGTAACTTCAGGGTGTTTTAGGGCTGATTTTGGGGATAACTTTGGGCTGATTTTGGGGTAACTTTAGACTGTTTTAGGGCTGATTTTGGGGATAACTTTGGGCTGATTTTGGGGTAACTTCAGGGTGTTTTAGGGCTGATTTTGGGGTGACTTTGGGCTGATTTTGGGATCATTTCGGAGCTGACTTTGGGCTGATTTTGGGGTAACTTCAGGGTGGTTTAGGACTGATTTTGGGGTGACTTTGGGCTGATTTTGGGATCATTTCGGAGCTGACTTTGGGCTGATTTTGGGGTAACTTCAGGGTGTTTTAGGGCTAATTTTGGGGTGACTTTGGGCTGAATTTGAGACCGATTTCGGGGATAATTTCAGGGTGACTTTGAGATAACTTTAGGATAATTTTGGGGTGATTTTGGGGTAACTTCAGGGTGTTTTAGGGCTGATTTTGGGGATAACTTTGGGGTGACTTTGGGCTGATTTTGGGGTGATTTTGGGCTGAATTTAAGACCAATTTCGGGGATAATTTCAGGGTGACTTTGTGATAACTTCGGGATAATTTTGGCCAATTCCGGGACAATTTTGGACTGATATTGGGCTAACTTCAGGGTGTTTTAGGACTGATTTTGGGGTAACTTCAGGGTGTTTTAGGGCTGATTTTGGAATCATTTTGGGGCTGATTTTGGGGTAACTTTAGGCTGTTTTAGGGCTGATTTTGAGATCATTTTGGGCATAACTTTGGGCTGATTTTGGGGTAACTTCAGGGTGTTTTAGGGCTGATTTTGGGGTGACTTTGGCCTGATTTTGGGGTAATTTTAGGCTATCTTAAGCTGACTTGGGGCCGAATTTAAGACCAATTTCAGAGATAATTTCAGGGTGACTTCGGGGTAACTTCAGGATAATTTTGGGCACCTCCAGGACAAATTTTGTGTGTTTTTTCCTTTTTTGGGCGCAGCCATGGCGGCCTCGGGGTACCTGAACCTGGCGGCGGACGCGGCGCACAACTTCACGGACGGGCTGGCGCTGGGCGCCGCGTTCTGGGCGTCCCCGGCCCGGGGGGCGCTGACGGCGCTGGCGGTGCTGCTGCACGAGCTGCCCCACGAGCTGGGGGACATGGCGCTGCTGCTGCGCGCCGGCTGCTCCAAGGGACAGGTAACAGGGAAAATGGGGAAAATGGGGAAAAAATGGTAAAATTGGGAAAAAAAATGGAAAAAATCGGTAAAATAATGGGAAAAATCAGGAAAAAATGGGAAAAATAGGGAAAAAAGGGGGGACATGGCGCTGCTGCTGCGCGCCGGCTGCTCCAAGGGACAGGTGAGACACGGGGGAAAAATGGGGGAAATCGGGGAAAAATGAGGAAATCTGGGAAAAAATGGGGAAATTGGGGGAAAATGGGGAAAAAATGGGGAAAAAAATGGGGAAAATCGGGGAAAAAATGGGGAAATTGGGGGAAAAATGGGGGGGAAATGAGGGAAAAATGGGGGGAAAAAATGGGGAAATTGGGGGAAAAAATGGGGAAAAAAATGGGGAAATTGGGCGCAAAATGGGGACATCGGGGAAAGAAAAGAGAAAAAAATGGGGAAATCGGGGGAAAAATGGGAAAAATCAGGGGAAAATGGGGAAATCGGGGGAAGAAAAGGGAAAAATCGGGAAAAATGGGAAAAATTGGGAAAAAATCAGAAAAATTTGGGGAAAAACGGGGAAAAAAGGGGAAAATTGGGGGAAAAATGGGGAAATCAAAGAAAAATGGGGAAAATTGGGGGAAAAAGGGGAAAAAATGGGGGAAAAAATGGGGGAAAATGGGGAAAAAAATGGGGAAAAAAATGGGGAAAATGGGGGAAAAATGGGAAAAAAAATGGGAAAAATCGGTAAAATAATGCGGAAATTGGGGAAAAAATGGGGGAAAATAGGGGGAAAATGGGGGAAAAATGGGGGGAAAAATGGGGAAAAAAATGGGGAAATTGGGGGAAAAATGGGGAAAAAATGGGGAAAAAATGGGGAAAAAATGGGGAAATTGGGGGAAAAATGGGGAAAAATGGGGAAAATCGGGGGGAAATGGGGGAAAATGGTAAAAATCGGGGGAAGAAAAGGGAAAAATCGGGAAAAATGGGAAAAATTGGGAAAAAATCAGAAAAATTTGGGGAAAAATGGGGAAAAAAGGGGAAAATTGGCGGAAATTGGAGAAAATCGGGGGAAAAATGGGGAAAATCAGGGAAAAAAATGGGGAAAATTGGGGGAAAATTGGGGGACATGGCGCTGCTGCTGCGCGCCGGCTGCTCCAAGGGACAGGTGAGATTGGGGGAAAATGGGGAAAAAAATGGGAAAAATCGGTAAAATAATGGGGAAAATCGGGGAAAAAATGGGGAAATTGGGGAAAAAATGGGGGAAAAATGGAGGAAAATGGGGAAAATCAAGGGAAAATTGGGGGACATGGCGCTGCTGCTGCGCGCCGGCTGCTCCAGGGGACAGGTGAGATTGGGGAAAAATGTGGGAAATTGGGGAAAAATGGGGAAAAAATGGAAAAAATCGGTAAAATAATGGGGAAATTGGGGGGAAAATGGGGGAAAAATGGGGGAAAAAATGGGGGATATGGCGCTGCTGCTGCGCGCCGGCTGCTCCAAGGGACAGGTAACGGGGAAAATGGGGAAAAATGGGGAAAAAATGTGAAAAATCGGTAAAATAATGGGGAAAATTGGGTAAAATAATGGGAAAAATAGGGAAAAAAAGGGGGGACATGGCGCTGCTGCTGCGCGCCGGCTGCTCCAAGGGACAGGTGAGATTGGGGGAAAATGGGGAAAATGGGAAAAATCGGTAAAATAATGGGGAAATTGGGGAAAAAATGGGGAAATTGGGGGAAAAATGGGGGAAAAAAGGGGGAAAAAAGGGGGGACATGGCGCTGCTGCTGCGCGCCGGCTGCTCCAAGGGACAGGTGAGATTGGGGGAAAATGGGGAAAAAATGGGAAAAATAGGGAAAAAAAATGGAAAAAATCGGTAAAATAATGGGAAAAATCGGTAAAATAATGGGAAAAATAGAGAAAAAAGGGGGGACATGGCGCTGCTGCTGCGCGCCGGCTGCTCCAAGGGACAGGTGAGATTGGGGAAAAATGGGGGAAATTGGGGAAAAAATGGGAAAAAAATGGAAAAATTGGGGAAAAAAATGGGAAAAATCAGGAAAATATGGGGGAAATTGGGGGAAAATTGGGGGAAAATGGGGGAAAAAAATGGGGAAAATCGGGGAAAAAAATGGGGGAAAAAAGGGGGAAAAAAAGGGGGGACATGGCGCTGCTGCTGCGCGCCGGCTGCTCCAAGGGACAGGCAATGGGGGAAAATGGGGAAAAAATGGGGAAATTGGGGGAAAAAATGGGAAAAATCAGTAAAATAATGGGAAAAATCAGGAAAAAGGGGAAAAATAGGGAAAAAAGGGGGGAAAATGGCCCCAGCTGCTGCGCACCGGCTGCTCCAAGGGACAGGTGAGATACGGGGAAAAATGGGGAAATTGGGGAAAAAAAAAGGGGAAAATCGGGGAAAAAATGGGGAAAAAAATGGGGAAAAAAATGGGGAAATTGGGGGAAAAATGGGGGAAAAATGGGGGAAAAAATGGGGAAATTGGGGAAAAAATGGGGAAAAATGGGTGATAAAAGGGGGGACATGGCGCTGCTGCTGCGCGCCGGCTGCTCCAAGGGACAGGTAACGGGGAAAATGGGGGAAATTGGGGAAAAAATGGGGAAAATCGGGGAAAAAATGGGAAAAAACTGGAAAAATTGGGGAAAAAAATGGGAAAAATCAGTAAAATAATGGGAAAAATCAGGAAAAAATGGGAAAAATAGGGAAAAAATGGGGGACATGGCGCTGCTGCTGCGCGCCGGCTGCTCCAAGGGACAGGTGAGACACGGGGAAAATGGGGGAAAAATGGGGGAAAATGGGGAAAAATGGGGAAAAAATGGAAAAAATCGGTAAAATAATGGGAAAAATCAGGAAAAAATGGGAAAAATAGGGAAAAAAGGGGGGAAAATGGCCCCAGCTGCTGCGCGCCGGCTGCTCCAAGGGACAGGTGAGATTGAGGAAAAATGGGGAAATCGGGGAAAAATGGGGAAAAAAATGGGGAAAAAAATGGGGAAATTGGGGAAAAAATGGGGAAAAAAATGGGGGGAAAATGGGGGAAAATGGGGAAAAAATGGGGAAAAAAATGGGGAAAATCGGGGAAAAAATGGGGGAAAAAAGGGGGGAAAATGGGGGGAAAAATGGGGGAAAAAAGGGGGGACATGGCGCTGCTGCTGCGCGCCGGCTGCTCCAAGGGACAGGTCAGATTGGGGGAAAATGGGGGAAAAATGGGAAAAATCGGTAAAATAATGGGAAAAATCGGGGAAAAAATGGGGAAATTGGGGGAAAAATGGGGGAAAAAATGGGGGAAAAAAGGGGGGACATGGCGCTGCTGCTGCGCGCCGGCTGCTCCAAGGGACAGGTCAGATTGGGGAAAAATGGGGAGAAATGGGGAAAAATGGGGAAATTGGGGAAAAAAATGGAAAAAATCGGTAAAATAATGGGGAAATTGGGGTAAAATAATGGGAAAAATAGGGAAAAAAGGGGGGACATGGCGCTGCTGCTGCGCGCCGGCTGCTCCAAGGGACAGGTAACGGGGGAAATGGGGGAAAAATGGGAAAAATGGGTAAAATAATGGGGAAAATCGGGGAAAAAATGGGGAAATTGGGGGAAAAAATGGGGGAAAAAAATGGGGAAATTGGGGGAAAAATGGGGGAAAAAAGGGGGGACATGGCGCTGCTGCTGCGCGCCGGCTGCTCCAAGGGACAGGTGAGATACGGAAACGGGGAAAAAAGGGGGAAAAATGGGGGAAAAAAGGGGGTAAATGGGGAAATTGGGGGAAAAATGGGGGGGAAAATGGGAGAAAAAAGGGGGGAAAATGGGGGAATGGGGGAAAATCGGGGAAAATGGGAAAAAAATGGGGAAAAAAATGGGGAAATTGGGGAAAAAATGGGAAAAAAAATGGGGAAATTGGGGAAAAAAGGGGGAAAATGCCCCTGCTGCTGCGCGCCGGCTGCTCCAAGGGACAGGTGAGATTCGGGGAAATGGGGGAAAATGGGGGACAATGGGGAAAAAATGGGGAAAAAAATGGGATAAAAACTGGAAAAATTGGGGAAAAATCGGGAAAAAATGGGAAAATCGGGAAAAAATGGGGAAATCGGGGGAAGAAAAGGGAAAATATGGGAAAAATCAGGGAAAAAATGGGAAAAATTGGGAAAAAATGGGAAAATCGGGGAAAAATGCGAAAAAACGGGGAAAATGGGAAAAATCGGGGAAAAATCAGGAAAAATTGGGAAAAAACGTAAAAAATTGGGAAAAAAAATAGGAAAAAAAGGGGAAAAATTGGGAAAAATGGGGAAAATCGGGAAAAAATGGGAAAAAACGGGAAAAATAGGTAAAAAATGGGAAAAACAGGGAAAAAATCTGAAAAAACAGGAAAAATCGGAAAAAATGGGGAAAAATTGAGAAAAAACATGGGGAAAATCGAAAAAATGGAAAAGATGGGAAAAATTTGGGAAAAAAAATGGGAGAAATTGGGGGAAAGGGAAAAACAGGAAAAATTGGGGAAAAACGGGAAAAAATGAGAAAAATGGGAAAAAATGGGAAAAATCGGGGGAAAATGGAAAAATCGGGGAAAATGAGGAAAAAGGGGAAAATGGGAAAAATCAGGAAAAAGGGGAAAAAATGGGGAAAATCTGGAAAAAAAAGGGGAAAAAAACCGGGGAAAATCAGAAAAAAAGGGAAAAATCGAGGAAAAAGGAAAAATTGGAAAAAAAATGGGGAAAAAAAAAGGGAAAATTCGGGACAAAAGTGGGAAAAAAATGCAGTTTTGGAGGACCAGCCATAGAGTTCAGGGTGCCAGAGCCCCTTTATGGTCATTGCCGCCATTTTGTGAGGGGGCTTGGCTGAGTCCCCGCCCCTTCCCAGTTCATCCCAGTTCATCCCAGTCCATCCCAGTTCCATCCCAGTTTATCCCAGTCCCATTAAGTCGCTCCCATTTCCTCCATGGATGGAATTTGGGCTTTTGGGGCAGAAAAATTGGAGAAACAACAGCCAAAAATGGGGTGTTGGGGGACTAGCCATGGAGTTCAGAGTGCCAGAGCTCCTCTGTGGTCATTGCCGCCATTTTGTGAGGCAGCTTGGCTGAAGCCCCGCCCCTTCCCAGTTCATCCCAGTTCATCCCAGTTTATCCCAGTTTATCCCAGTCCCTCCATGGAGGGAATTTGGCCTTTTGGGGCAGAAAAAATGGGGAAAAGTCATGAAAAAATGACAAAAAAAAGCTGCTGGAGGACTAGCCACGGAGTTCAGGGTGCCAGAGCCCCTCTGTGGTCATTGCCGCCATTTTGTGAGGCGGCTTGGCTGAAGCCCCGCCCCTTCCCAGTTTATCCCAGTTCCTCCCAGTTCATCCCAGTTTATCCCAGTCCCATAAAGTCACTCCCATTTCCTCCATGGATGGAATTTGGGCTTTTGGGGTGGAAAAATTGGGAAAAAAATGCTGCAGGGGGACTGGCCATGGAGTTCAGGGTGCCAGAGCTCCTCTGTGGTCATTGCCGCCATTGTGTGAGGCGGCTTGGCTGAGGCCCTTCCCCTTCCCAGTTCATCCCAGTTCCTCCCAGTTCATCCCAGTTCATCCCAGTTCCCTCTTTACTCCCATTATCTCACTCCTACTCCCTCCATGGATGGAATTTGGCCTTTTGGGACAGAAAAATCGGGAAAAAACTGCAAAAAACGGCTGGCCATAGAGTTCAGGGTGCCAGAACCCCTCTGTGGGGATTGCCGCCATTTTGTGAGGCGGCTTGGCTGAAGCCCCGCCCCTTCCCAGTCCTTCCCAGTTCATCCCAGTTCATCCCAGTTTATCCCATTTCCTCCATGGATGGAATTTGGGCTTTTGGGGCAGAAAATTTGGGAAAAATCATGAAAAAATGACCAAAAAAGGCTGCTGGGGGACTGGCCATGGAGTTCAGGGTGCCAGAGCTCCTCTGTGGTGATTGCCGCCATTTTGTGAGGCGGCTTGGCTGAAGCCCCGCCCCTTCCCAGTTCCTCCCAGTTTATCCCAGTTCATCCCAGTTCATCCCAGTTACCTTTTAGTCACTCCCAGTCCCACCATGGATGGAATTTGGGCTTTTGGGACAGAAAAATCGGGAAAAAACTGCAAAAAACGGCTGGCCATAGAGTTCAGAGTGCCAGAGCCCCTCTGTGGTGATTGCCGCCATTTTGTGAGGGGGCTTGGGTGAATCCCCGCCCCTTCCCAGTTCCTCCCAGTTTATCCCAGTTTATCCCAGTTTATCCCAGTCCCTCCATGGATGGAATTTGGGCTTTTGGGGCAGAAAAAATGGGAAAAAAATTCTGCTGGAGGACTGGCCATGGAGTTCAGGATGCCAGAGCTCCTCTGTGGTCATTGCCGCCATTTTGTGAGGCGGCTTGGCTGAAGCCCCGCCCCTTCCCAGTTCATCCCAGTCCCTCCCAGTTCATCCCAGTCCCATTAAGTCACTCCCAGTCCCTTCATAGATGGAATTTGGGCTTTTGGGGCAGAAAAATTGGAGAAACAACAGCCAAAAATGGGGTGCTGGAGGACCAGACAGAGCCCCTTTATGGTCACTGGCTGCCATTTTGTGAGGCGGCTTGCCTGAAGCCCCGCCCCTTCCCAGTTCATCCCAGTTTATCCCAGTCCCTCCATGGATTGAATTTGGGCTTTTGGGGAGGAAAAACTGGGAAAAAACTGCAAAAAACAACCAAAAAGGGACTTCTTGAGGACCAACCACAGAGTTCGCAGTGCCAGAGCCCCTCTGTGGTGATTGCCGCCATTTCGTGAGGCGGCTTGGCTGAGGCCCTGCCCCTTCCCAGTTCCTCCCAGTTTATCCCAGTTTATCCCAGTTTATCCCAGTTTATCCCAGTTTATCCCAGCTGATCCCAGTTTGTTTTCCCTCCCAGGCCATGCTGCTGCAGCTGCTGACGGCTCTGGCGGCTCTGGCGGGCGCCGCCTGCTCGTTGCTGGCCGAGGGTTCGGGCGCCGGCGCCATTTCGGGGATCCTGCCCTTCACCGCCGGCGGCTTCATCTACCTGGGCACGGTGTCGGTTCTTCCCGAAATCCTGCACGATTCCGGCGCCGGCCAAGCGCTCCTGCAGCTCCTGGCGCTGCTGGCCGGCGTGGCCATGATGCTGCTCATCGCTTACTACGAGTAGGAATTCCCAAAAAATCCCACAAATTCCCGGAAATCCCGAAAATCAGCAAATTATGATTTGGTTCCCCCCCCCCGCCCGGTGTGGAATGGTACGTTCCAGTTGTGGGGGTTGGTCGTGGTTTGGGAGGAGAAAAATGGGAAATTTGGGGTTTGGGGGTAAAAATCAGCCCAAAAAATGAGAAATTTGGGGTTTAGGGGGTGTTTAAAATATCAGCCTGAAAAAATGGAAAATGTGGTGTTTTGGAGGTGAAAAATTGGCCTGAAAAATGGGAAATTTGGGGTTTTGGAGGTAAAAAAAGGCCTTAAAAATGAGAAATTTGGGGTTTTGGAGGTAAAAAATCAGCCTGAAAAATGGGAAATTTGGGGTTTTGGAAGTAAAAAAGGCCTTAAAAATGAGAAATTTGGGGTTTTGGAAGTAAAAAATAACCCCAAAAAATGAGAAATTTTGGGTTTTGGGGGGTAAAGAATCAGCCTGAAAAAATGGAATTTTGGGGTTTAGGGGGGGTAAAGAATCAGCCTGAAAAAATGGAAAATTTGGTGGTTTAGGGGGTGTTTAAAATATCAGCCTGAAAAAATGGGGGATTTGGGGTTTGGAGGTAAAAAATTAGCCAAAAAAATGAGAAATTTGGGGTTTTGGAGGTAAAGAATCAGCCTGAAAAAATGGAAAATTTGGGGTTTTGGAGGTAAAAAATCAGCCCAAAAAATGGAAAATTTGGGGTTTTGGAGGTAAAAAATCAGCCCAAAAAATGGAAAATTTGGGGTTTTGGAGGTGAAAAATTGGCCCAAAAAAATGAGAAATTTGGGGTTTTAGGGTTAAAACCTCACCCCAAAAAATGGAAAATTTGGGGGTTTGGAAGTAAAAACCCCAAAAAATGAGAAATTTGGGGTTTTGGGGGTGTTAAAATATCAGCCTGAAAAAATGGAAAATTTGGGGTTTTGGGGGTGTTAAAATATCAGCCTGAAAAAATGAGAAATTTTGGGTTTTAGAGCTAAAGAATCACCTCAAAAAAATGAGAAATTTGGGTTTTTGGAGGTAAAAAATCACCCCCAAAAATGAGAAATTTGGGGTTTTGGACGTAAAAAATCATCCCAGAAAATGGAAAATTTGGGGGTTTGGAGCTTAAAAATCATCCTAAAAAAATGGAAAATTTGGGGTTTTGGAGCTTAAAAATCATCCTGAAAAAATGGAAAATTTGGGGTTTGGGGGTAAAGAATCACCCTGAAAAAAATGAGAAATTTGGGGTTTTGGAGCTAAAGAATCACCTCAAAAAACCGAGAAATTTGGGGTTTTGGATGGTAAAAAATCATCCCAAAAAATGAGAAATTTGGGGTTTTGGAGGTAAAGAATCAGCCTGAAAAAATGGTAAATTTGGGGTTTGGACGTAAAAAATCAGCCTGTAAAAATGGAAAATTTGGGGTTTTGGAGGTAGAAAATCAGCCCAAAAAATGAGAAATTTGGGGGTTTGGAGGTAAAGAATCATCCTGAAAAATGGGAAAATTGGGGTTTTGGAGCTAAAAAAATCATCCTGAAAAAATGGAAAATTTGGGGGTTTGGAGCTAAAAAATCACCCCAAAAAATGAGAAATTTGGGGTTTTGGAGGTAAAAAATCATCCTGAGAAAAATAAAAAATTTGGGGTTTTGGAACGGGAATTTTTGGGGTTTTTTTGGGAATTTTGGAGGGGTGGGGATGGATTTTTTTTATCATTTTTGATGCGCGGTGGCAAATCATGATTAAAACGTGAGGATGAGGAGGAGATGAGTGTGTGGATAAATTTGGGGTAAAAAATGGGGATTTTGGGAAAAAATGGGAATTTGGGGTTTGGAATGGGAATTTTGGGGTTTTTTGGGGAAATTTTGGGGTTTTTTAATCATTTTTGATGGTGTGGCAAATCATGATTAAAGTGTGAGGATGAGGAGGAGATGAGTGTGTGGAGTAAATTTGGGGTAAAAAATGGGGATTTTGGGAAAAAAAGGAAAATTTGGGGTTTGGAATGGGAATTTCGGGGTTTTTTTGGGGGAATTTTTGGGGTTTTTTGATAGTGTGGCAAATCGTGATTAAAGTGTGAGGATGAGGAGGAGATGAGCGTGTGGATAAATTTGGGGTAAAAAAAGGGGATTTTGGGAAAAAATGGGGATTTGGGGAGAAAAATGAGGATTTGGGGAGAAAAATTAAGGAAAAATAGAAAAAAAATCAGAAGGAAATGCAGGTGCTGGAGGAACTTTTTAGGAATTTGGGGACATTTTTGGGATTTGGGGACATTTGGGGTATTTTTGGGATTTGGGGACATTTTGGGATTTAGGGACTTTTGGGGACATTTTGGGGATTTGGGGACATTTTTGGGATTTGGGGACATTGGGGACATTTGGGATATTTTTGGGATTTAGGAACATTTTGGGGATTTTGGGACATTTTTGGGATTTAGGGACTTTTGAGATATTTTTGGGATTTGGGGACAGATTTTGGGGCCGTTTTTTGGATTTGGGGTCATTTTTTGGGATTTTGGGGATGGAATTTGGGGCCATTCTTTGGGATTTTGGGGTCATGCTTTGGGATTCAGGGCTGGATTTTGGGGCCATTTTCTGGCATTTGGAGCTGGATTTTGGGGCCATTTTCTGGGATTTGGGGCTGGATTTCAGGACAATTCCACGGGATTTGGGGCTGGAATTTGGGGTTTGGGGCTGGATTTTGGGGTCGATTTTTGGGATTTTGGGGCTGGAATTTGGGGCCATTTTCTGGGATTTGGGGCTGGAATTTGAGGCTGTTCTTTGGGATTTGGGGCTGGATTTTGGGGCCATTTTCTTGGATTTTGGGGCTGGATTTTGGGGCCATTCTTTGGGATTTGGGGCTGGATTTTGGGGCCATTCTTTGGGATTTGGGGCTGGATTTTGGGGCCATTCTTTGGGATTTTGGGGTCATGCTTTGGGATTCGAGGCTGGATTTTGGTGCCATTATTTGGGATTTGGGACTGGATTTTGGGGCCATTATTTGGGATTTGGGACTGGATTTTGGGGCCATTCTTTGGGATTTGGGACTGGATTTTGGGGCCATTTTTTGGGACTTGGGTTTGGATTTCGGGGTCATTATTTGGGATTTGGGGTCATTTTCTGAGATCACTTTTTGGGATTTCAGGACAATTCTGCCGGATTTGGGGCTGGAATTTTGGGTATTTGGGATTTGGGGCTGGATTTTGGGCCCATTATTTGGGATTTGGGGCTGGATTTTGAGGTCGATTTTTAGGATTTCATGGTGGATTTGGGGTTGGATTTTGGGGTCACTTCTTGGGATTTTGGGGTCAATTTTTGGGATTTCACGCTGGATTTGGGGTTGGATTTTGGGGTCACTTCTTGGGATTTTGGGGCTGGATTTTGGGGTCATTTTATGGGATTTCAGGCTGGATTTGGGGTTGGGTTTTGGGGTAATTCTGTGGGATTTCAGGCTGGATTTCAGGACAGATTTTGGGGTCATTTTGCAGGGTTTTGCACACATTTATCAGAGACATTTTGCAGGATTTGGGGCTGGGTTTTGGGGACAAATTTTGGGATTTCGGGTAATTTTCTGGGATTTGGGGCTGGATTTTGGGGCCATTATTTGGGATTCGGGGCTGGATTTTGGGGCCATTCTTTGGGATTTTGGGGACAGATTTTGGGGCCATTTTCTGGGACTCGGGGCTGGATTTTGGGGCCATTTTCAGGGATTTTGGGGCTGGATTTTGGGCCCATTATTTGGGATTTTGGGGCTGGATTTCGGGGCCATTCTTTGGGATTTGGGGCTGGATTTTGGGGCCATTATTTGGGATTTTGGGGCCATTCTTTGGGATTCGGGGCTGGATTTTGGGGTCATGCTTTGGGATTTGGGGCTGGATTTTAGGGTCATTATTTGGGATTTGGGGCTGGATTTTGGGGCCATTCTTTGGGATTTTGTGGCTGGGTTTTGGGGCCATTATTTGGGATTCAGGGCTGGGTTTTGGGGCCATTTTCTGGGATTTTGGGGCTGGATTTTGGGGCCATTATTTGGGATTTTGGGGTCATGCTTTGGGACTCGGGTCTGGATTTTGGGGTCATTTTTTGGGATTCGGGGCTGGGTTTTGGGGCCATTATTTGGGATTTGGAGCTGGATTTTGGGGCCGTTCTTTGGGATTTTGGGGCCATTCTTCGGGATTTGGGGCTGGATTTTGGGGTCATTATTTTGGATTTGGGGCTGGATTTTGGGCCCATTATTTGGGATTTTGGGGCTGGATTTCGGGGCCATTCTGTGGGATTTCAGGTGGGATTTCAGGACAGATTTTGGGGTCATTTTGCAGGGTTTTGCACACATTTATCAGAGACATTTAGCGCAGGATTTGGGGCTGGGGTTTGGGGTCAAATTTTGGGATTTGGGGTCATTTTCTGGAATTTGGGGCTGGATTTTGGGGCCATTATTAAAGATTCGTGGCTGGATTTTGGGGCCATTTTCTGGGATTTTGAGGCTGGATTTCAGGACAATTCCACGGGATTTGGGGCTGGATTTTGGGGTGGATTTTTGGGATTTCACACTGGATTTGGGTCGGATTTTGGGACCATTATTTGGGACTTGGGGCTGGATTTTGGGGCCATTATTTGGGATTTGGGGCTGGAATTTGGGGCCATTTTCTGGGATTTTGGGGCTGGATTTTGGGGCCGTTTTTTGGGATTTGGGGCTGGAATTTGGGGTCATTATTTGGGATTTGGGGCTGGATTTTGGGGCTGTTCTTTGGGATTTTGGGGTCATGCTTTGGGATTCGGGGCTGGATTTTGGGGCCATTATTTGAGATTTGGTTCTGGAATTTGGGACTGTTCTTTGGGATTTTGGGACCATTTTTTGGGACTTGGGGCTGGAATTTGGGGCTGTTCTTTGGGATTTTGGGGTCATGCTTCGGGATTTGGGGCTGGATTTTGGGGGCATTTTCTGGGACTCAGGGCTGGATTTTGGGGCCATTTTTGGGACTCGGGGCTGGAATTTGGGGTCATTATTTGGGATTTTGGGGCTGGATTTTGGGGTCATTATTTGGGACTCGGGGCTGGATTTTGGGGCCGTTTTTGGGATTTGGGGCTGGATTTTGGGGCCGATTTTTGGGACTCAGGGCTGGATTTTGGGGCCATTTTCTGGGACTTGGGGCTGGATTTTGGGGTCATTTTTTGGGATTTTGGGGCTGGATTTTGGGGTCATTATTTGGGATTTGGGGCTGGATTTTGGGA